AGGTTACTTTGTGAAAAAGTTGAAAGTAAGTAGCTTTTAAAAAATAATTCCGTTTTTTTTTGTGGGAGGTTGTAGTGGGTAAGGGAGGCTATGTCCCAATTGTTTGTATGCTCCACGGGGGTATTATGTAAAAAAAACGTCAAAAAGTCAAAAGAATTTCCAAAAATGAACAAGGGTCCCTAGAATGTCAAGAAACGAAGCTAGAGCGGTTTTCTGTTTTTTTTTTCGTCTTCTAACCGGATCTCTGCTGCCACATGAAAATTAAAAGCAGTTAATCATCTCCTCCTTGTACTGGATACGATCCTCTATGATTCAAGTATGATTCCGTGTAGAATAAAGTTCAAAATATGTCTGATTGCCTACCTATGCATGAGGTTTAACGTTTAATTATGAATGTTGGCAAGTCCAAAGCAAATAATTTTATGCCAGTAAAATTATTTTTACATTTGAAGGTTTTTCTAAATTTCAGCTGATCCTTTTTCGCGATATGTTATACAGGTGCTAAGTACTTCCTAGTCACTAAAAATTTAGTTCAATATAGATGAATCCGAAAATAAGTTGTTCAATCCACATTCTGCCAAATGGCATGAGACTGCCTATTTTAGCAGGAAAATTTAACTTGGATATAAAATACAGAAGTTCTGATATAAAAATATGAGAAATGCCAATGATTCTTAGTTTTACATAATATATACTATTTTTGCCCATTTTGCCATGTGCATATTTCTTGATGTACCTCTCAACTTAGCAGTTTTTTTAACCTGGCTCCAAAAATAGTGAAAATAAATTTTCTTCTCTTCTTATTCACAAATTCGTTGTATCAACCAGTGCTAGCATTGATCAACCCAAATGGTATAAGTTTGTGTATTACAACTTATAAGTAAAATTATAGCATTTCAAAATTGTAAAGCAATATTAGGAAAGGGTTGTGACCCCTTACTAGAATTAAATTTAAAAGCTGAATATCGTCGTAGCGTAAAACTACAATAGAAACCTTTTTTAGAGAAAATGTGTGTTTTTAAAAATTGTTCTATATTACATAGCAAAAAGGGAACAAATACACTTACAATGTACATGAATCTCTAGGAAAATATAACAGTATAGTGATTATGAAGGAACGTTCATTAGGATATCTACCACCATTAATTAATGTATTTCACCTGAATATAGTCAGCCTAATGCTATATGTATGTATTCTCGTGTCATCTATGAGAATTTGTCACCCTTGTTTATCTATTTACCGGATGTACACTTAGAAAAGGAGAACGCATGTCATAGGTGACGTCAGCGCCATCTACGTGACACTGACCAGTTGTGACAAAGTCTCATAGATGACGCTACGGTATCTCATTTCATCTCGGATAATTTTTGGACTCTGCAATATAGCTTTAGGCTGGATACATCTTGTTGTAGAATACGTTAATCGAAGCTATCACTTGCAATTAATAGATTTTAAACTAGGTATACAGTGTATCTAAGATATATGAATGCCCAGTATGGAACCAGCTAAACAAAAAGGAAGATATACTTCATGGGCAGCTATGCTTTCTGATTTAAGAACCTGGAAAAAATCTCGAGATGATAGAGAAATTTGCAAGTAATACACTCAATTTGTAAAACGAGTGGACCATGGAAGGCCATGCTTACAAATAAACAGTTTCTATTCCTTTATTTACTGGATACATGAAATAAATAAATTATGACGATTGGTTGTATATAACTTATAAATTATTTTTCATTATTAAAGAGTTTTAATCGTTATTGATTTAATTTAAGTTCTATTAAACTCTCCCGAACGGCCTTGCAAGGAACAGGGCTCCATACAAGATCAATTTAATAAATCAGTCGTGTAACTAAAACTAAGATTACTCGAACGTTATTGTAAAGCTAAGGATGTACATATTACATATATTACATAAGTTGCCATTAACCATGATAATTTGAATTAAAAATTAATTTAAACCGGTCAAAATTATGGTTTTCTCATGTAAGAGCCGTTTTACACACAACAGAATTACTCCGAAAATTATGGTCATAATTATGCTGAAAATTTGCATGGAAAAAATATTGAAGATTTTCTCTACAACATGTATGACACAAGCAAACAAAATTTCGGAGTAATTCATATGATACGCCTGCGCATTAGAGTTATATTTTCAAATGGACATAACCTTAACGGGTATGACGTCCAATATAATCGGAAAGACAACAGACGTCGATAATTTAAATTTATTTTTGAAATCGAGATCTTGGTTAATATTATAAAACTTCTCAATGCTTGGACTATCGCATCCAGCGCCTGACGCCGCAAATTTCTGTTTTTGTAATTGGGTGACTTCACCTTATACAGGTTTGGCCATTTTTGGTACTCGTCCAACAACATTGTAAATTCTTCCCGATTCCACGAAATTATGAATAAACAATAACAATAAACGCTCCTTCGTACGACTCGAACAGGACCACTTCCACAAATGTTAAGCGAGGTTATGTTGTTGTTGTTGTCGTTGACATTTGATATTGACATGCACGGAAATAACCCTCTGCGCCGATTCTCGCGCATATAATATAGAACGGGTTTTATATTTTTACCATGAAAATTTTCACAAGAATTCTTTTACGTGTAATACGACAGCAAAAATTTTCGGCATAATTATGACCATAATTTTCGGAGTAATTCTCTTGTGTGTAAAACGGCTCTAAGACCAAAATATTTCAGTTGGCTTTAGAAATCTACCTTAAAAAAATAAAGAAAGTAATAGTGTATTTACTTGAAAACTCACGTATTATTGTGAGCTAGGATTATAATTTTAACGTCTACGACCGATATCGACAAAGCGAGGGACCGCGTCCTTGAGTTCGATGTATGTAAGTCTGAGTAGAAAGAATTTGTCTTCGCATGGCAGTTACTACGAATTTGTAATAATTGATATTGCATGGTCCACCCACCTTATATGCTATGCGATTTTCTCTCATCCTCATACTATATACTTATATTGGACACACTGTATATCGCTAATCTAAGGATTTTACATAATGTTTTTTCTGGTAAGATGTTTTAATATTTTTGTTGTGATCTCTGTTGTTGATTTGAAACGAAGTTTATATGTTAATATATGATTATATCAACGTATTTAAATAAAAGATTGTTATATAAATTCTGTGCTGCAGTTTAATTTACCAACACAACGCTGCCTTATAACAATGACATTCATTATTTATAGAAAAAAGAATGGATTCTACACAGAACAGAACACGCATACATGTAAAATAGAAGATTGAAAACTTAAACTGAAAATATGGATGTTCATGCATCTTACATCATTTCTCAACATATGTCATGGCACGAAAATAAGGCGCGGCTTAGTGTGTATATGACCATGTGACTGTTAATCATTGGTGAATATTGACAGTCCTTCGTTCAGTCTCGCACGTGTCTTCTTATAGGTTATGTTATTTATTTTTCAACACATTTTTGAACTTGTCCCATAGCTATAACTTTATAAAGTGCACCAAAGTACATTCAGTTGGTCCGAGTAAAGATAACATGGCCACGCAAGACAACTGCTGAAATGTATTCTAGAAGACTATCCGTAGCGAATTTTTTGCCAAAATCGTTGCACAACACTTAAAAAATGCAATTGAAAATAGGAAAATTGCCGCTCTGACGTTCTTATGCTGCGGTACCCCGGGATAGACATCCGTGTTGACAGATAACCTTGTCATTCTTGCCACCTGGATTGCGGCGTTGCCAGCTAATCGGCCGATTTTGCTACTTCTGCTATTTTGATAGAATGTTAAAAAAAAAGAAGTTTTGAATAAAATATTGAGAATGGAGATATATAAAATTTGAGGCGTAGCAATGCTTGCTGAAAAAACTAAGCAAAAGTTGTTATTTATATTTTGAGTCGCATGGCGTCTATGTGGCGGAACCTTAAGGTCTCTGAACATTTTCTAAATGCCCAGTTTTATACGATAAAATACTTTTTGAATAAGGGACTTCTTCCAACAATTGGAAAAAAACAATGTTGTATTATATAAATAAGTTTATTAAATATTTGATCTAAAATTACATGATCATTAATAGGAGAAGTACTATTTATTAGTATCCGTCTTATACGCAGAGATATTAGGCATGCATTTTGAGGAAGCTAAAAATGGACAGCTTGATAACTTGAATCCAACTTATAACTCGTCGATCATGTGGAATTACAGGCAGATGCATTTTGGACGCATCACATCCCTACTCTTGTTGGACATTTGGTGCCCACATATCCTCCAACAACGAAGGTAAGACATTATAGTTTCCTAAGCACGGGACTGAGATTCCAGGTTTAAAAACGCCAGAGAATCAACGCTTGATTTTTTGCACCATATTTAGTAAACATAGTGCCAAGGGCGTAGTGTCAAAGCACGATACTGTCAATTATAGACTATCACCAATTCGTTGGACTAAAAATAATATTTTTTTCGAGGCTTTTCTAATAGTTTTGAGACTTGTTAGAAATGAATGTAAGTACATAAGTATACTTACAAGAACGTTAGATTAGTGCACGTTTCAGTGATTTTTTTTTTATAATAATGTATTACAGGATGGCCAAAATAAGGATTAGACTAGGTTAAATTCAGTAATTACACAATCTTACATCAAGCATTCGTTTGCAACGCCTACTTGAATAAAATGAAAAAATAGAAGAAAAAAAACACGTTTGTTTATGACTTAAAAAACAAATGTAATCGTCGTAGAAAAAGATGCTATTAGATACAGGGTCGTACTTTTTTTAATGTTGTGCACTTTGGGCACATTTAAAAACACCATCATGTAGTGCCATTAGTTTTTTGACATTTCTTAAAATAAAGTCAGACAAAAATAAAAACGATTTGGCCAAATTTTAGTTTTTAGTATTAGTATATGACTAATATTACAGTGTATGCAATGTGCGCAATTTATTTAAAAAACATAGGATGTCAACCCTAATACACAAGTAGCCTTGCATACTCACCTAATGTGCTCCTGTTTCCCTCAGAAGAGTTGGAAGTAGACATAGTTTCCACTTTGGAGTCACTTGACATCCGCGTCACAACACTAAAACAAAATCCAAAGCACCACTGAGAGACAATCGAGAATTCTATAGTGAACATAAATACAATACTAAAAAGAATAGCTTAACCGAATAGAGCTCTGCACGGAGTTGTGAACGCGTGGACATTCCGCTACGCCGACGGTTGCCGAGAGACTGAAGCGTGTGACTGCTATACCTCGCTGCGGCGATACAGTACGGCCGGGTTGTACAGCCACGCCCCTTACCAACTCCCACTCCGCGCATCTGCGTTTTCTTATCTGACTGTACCACGAAGCGACTCGATGTTTACGTTGACCGGGAGCAGACGCGCGTGTATCCAAAGTGGAAATTAGGTCTACTTCCAACTCTTTTGAGGGAAACAGGATATCTGTGAAGCACACTAGGTGAGCCTTGCATACTCATCACTAGTGTGATAGGGTTAGACATTAGTTAAAAATTCATACTACTAACCAAAATATACATATGTTACTTACCTAATTTGCTATGTTGAGAAGCCTTCTTCCAGAAACACGCACTTCAAGCTAATTCACCTAAATACATAATTTTTGCTGACAGCAGCTGTCAAGTTTTGCTGCGGGTAAACTGGAAAAAATGCTGACAGGTACTGTCATACAATTTTTCCATCTAAAAACCATTCGTAAATCAAAATTGCACATTTGTGATTGGTAGAAATTAAGACATGGGAAATAATCGTCGTCATGAAAACCACAGAATAAGTTTCAGATGCTACTCGTACATTAACACAAAGACTGGTGCCACGACTTGACTTCTGTTTGAATGTTTATGGTAGCTATGTTGAAAAATGAGAAAAGGTTCAGTTTTTACTTTGTGATACAATTTAGATTCATAAATAAAATTTCTCCGACTCTATTGCTAAAAGGTTCTTACTTAAAAAACTCTCATATAAACCGTTACTTCAATGCTACCTTTTTTTTAGGTTAATAACTGTGGCATGCTGGCGATTTTAGATTTTACAAAAGAAGCCAGAATTGTGGAACGGCTTAATTTTTCTTCATCTGATACAATTAATATTAGCAGTGAAGGTTGAGATTTTCCTTGCCCAAGTGCGAATGCAGTCACTAAAAAAACATAATATAATAAACTAATAAAGACTATAGAAAATGAAAATCGTACTTCTCCTATAAATGATCATTGATTATGTAATTTTAGATCAAATAGTTAATAAATATATTTATATAATAAAACATTGTTTTTTTCCAATTATTGGGAGAAGTCCCGTATTCAAAAAGTATTTTATCCTGTACAACTGGACCTTTATAAAACTGTTCAGAGACATTAACGTTCCGCCGCATAGACGCCAGGCGACGCAAAATGTAAATAACCGCTTTTTTTGTTTTTTGGCAGACATTGCTACACCTCAAATTTTATATATCTCCATTGGTATCCCTCAATATTTTATACAAAGCTTCCTTTTTTATAACATTCTAACAAAATTGTCCGATTAGCTGGCAACGCCGCAATCTAGGTGGCAAGAATGACAAGACCGTATGCCTATCCCGGGGTAACGACGGCATCATTTCATACGTCAAAGCGGCAGTTTTCCGATCTATTTGCATGTTTCAAGTGGTGTGCAACGATTTCGAGAAAAATTTCGCTATATATGTATATATATATATATATATAGTCTTCTGGAATCTAGTAGAGTATATTTCATATTTCAATAGTTACTCGGACCAATTCAGTTTACCCAAAAATGACTGAAGGAGAAGAGGTCTCATTGAAAAGCAAAAAACGTCCCGCACCAGATCAGGAAAATCCAAATGAAGCTAAAAAGGTGAAACATTTCAACGCAAAAGAGTTTAGGAAACAACTAAATTCCAATAGTAAGCTGCAAGGTAGTTATTCTATTTGTTTAAAAAGTACTTTGTTAGATAATAACATTTTTTGCAGCTCTTCAAGATTTTTTGAATGCCATTAAGAGTGAGACGTCTAGACGAGATTGTATTACAGACTATCTACAGAATGGAGGCAGTTGTATTGAACTCCTCCAAACCCTTGAGTTCGATTCCTCTCTACCACCATCCCTAGTCTTTGAAATTGTAGCCTATGTTATCCTAAAAATTGGGGCCTCATGTGCCCAGCACTTAAACTCGTCTCAAGAAGCATGTCGATACCTGCTCAACAATTATGTAGCAGTCGTCAATAAAATGATAAATTTGAGCTCAACCACCCCAGAAAGAAAAGCATGTTTAAAGTTACTTACTGCAATGGTGACATTATCACCTGCTTTGGCTAAGGATGTATTGGTGCACGTTGGTTTCCATCAAACAAATGTTGAATTGTTAACAAAACATACAGGGGAAAAGAATAGTGTAAGGGATCATTTTATAAGGTTTTTAACTGCATTTCTGGTTGATGGACATTATCCCGCACTATCTATGTTATTGGAGAAAAAGGGGTTCATAACAAGTATCGTGGGAGGATTACAGGTGAGTTATCAGTTTTAAAAAAATAACCCACTGCCTACTTTCTTCATAATTGTCACCTGCCATCACAGGATGTTTCTGGCAAGGCTCCCAGCTGATTGAATTTCTTTGGAATGAACTTGTCTGACAATGAAACACTGTTTATCAAAAGTTATTCTGACAGCCTGAAGAAGTTATGTGAATGCTTGAAATATTTGTCCTCGAAGGGCATCTCAAAAGTATTGAAAATGAAAAGAGGATTTTTGAAAGATATGTAAATACAAGTTTCATTGCAGGAGGATTTACAATTATTAATAATCCTCTAATATTTAATTATTTTTCACCATATGACTATCAGCTTCTACTGTTTTTTATTTTTAAGTATCACTCATCACATGTCTGGAAACTATTGAAACACTGTTACATATGCCAAAAGTTATAAACTATACATCTACAGGGTGTTTGGAAGGCTGATACCATCATTTCTAAGGATGATAGCACACCTCATTTGAGACACAATTTTGGGAAGTCCTAGAAATCATGCAGTGAACAATCACTTGTTTAAGAAGGAGCAACTATTTTGTTCTCTTATTTTTTATCTTAGTGTCTCCCTAATTCACAAAATTGCATATAACTCAAAAACGTTTCAACTGTGTGATTCAATTTTTTTCAAATTATATCACCCCTTAAAATGATGATATCTGCCTTCCCAGCACTCTGTATAAGCTAGTGACTTGTAATCAATTTCAATATATTTTGTTCCTGGCAGTATGACAATGCTGATACATTGTGTATGGTCATCAATGCAATGAAGAATTTCATACTAGAAAACACAAGTGTATCAAAAACTGCCAAAATGAAGACCTTTAACACCACAGTTGTTAGGGATATAGTAAATCTATACAACTGGAAAGGACCTTCAGGATTTAGGAATGAGAAGAAGAACAAAAATAAGAGCACTAGTTTTACAGTAAGTGTTTTACCAAATGTGAGCATGCAAAATAATTTCAGTAATGTTTTCCAGGTAGATGAGGTAGAGAAAGCAAAAGTGAGTGAATGTGTTCATGATTTTCTGTTGGTGCTATGCTGCTCTCACAGATATGGTGTAATATTCAAAGATCATATGCTTGGATTAGCCAAAAAAACTCAGAACCCTCTTATGTATACTGTTCTAGAAAGTTTAGAAAGGTAACTATTATTTGTTGATCAATAGTAACTTGAAGAATGATTTCAATTTTTCATTCCAGACCATGGGATCACTCGTATGCCTCTGAGTTGGTCACAAAGATATGTGGTGCCTGCCCTGACCTAGCCAAAACAATATGGAAGAATTTAAAACCTTCCTTAGAACCCAGATATTCTGAAAAATGGTTAAAAGCTGTTGAATTTGCAAAAAACCTCATCAAAGAGTTTCACCCATCTTGTATAGAATTTTGTCTCAAGGAACTTAGCCCATATCAGGTAAATAATTGAGCACTGGTATATTCCTTTTATTTATCCACTTATACAGGGTGATCAAAGGAAGTCAGGTTTTTTTAGCAAAGTTGGGGCTATGTCAGATTCTCAATTTTTAATCCTGGACATTTTTCTATGCATCTTTTTGCGTATGTATACTTACGTTTTTAATATTTCTTACAGATTTTCCAGGTGACACAGTGTTTGGTAGCACCTCTGCCAATCATACAAACCATAATACCAGAGCAAGGTTCTTTTGAGAGCAGTTTAGTTAAAAATATAGTATTATCTTTGATCTTAGAGATGCTCAAAGCTTTGGAACTTTACCTGAACAATATGAAGTCCTGGTTATCTAATGAAAAGTATGAGAAATACTGTGTTTGTATTAATAACTATGTTGGGAAAAATTTCCCACACCCCACAATCATCTTGAAAGATTGGAATAAGTTTGAAGAAATTAAATTAAAGTGCGCTAACGATCTTATAAAAAGTTCATTTAGCATTTTTGGCCTATATAAAAAACTGTCGCCACCTTTGCTTAGCAAATTGGCCATATTTGACATAAAAGAACTATTGACATGGATTGAAACTATGTTTCAAGATGATACCAGTGTTCTAATGGATGCCATCAATATCTTCATTGATATAGACTGCTCAAAGTTCACTACAAAAACTAAATTGTTCTCTCATGTAGTTCCACTATTACTAGAATTATATCATGGTAGTCGAGACTCAAATTGCTTATTGGTATTAACAAAACTTTTAAGAAATACATTTATTTTTGATGGGTGTGAAAGTGAAATACCACTTTGGATCAACGGGATCTTAAATTTGAAAAGTTATGATCAGGAAGTTGCTCAAAATATTGTTGAAATTTTTAAAATCACCGACCATAGTGTCAAGCAATATTTAAATCAGTTAGCATCTTTTACTAAAAAAGAGGATGCTGACATTTGTCTAGATGTTGCAGAATCATTCCAGAATTTAGAAATTGACACAACTATAGTTATCAAACACAGGTATTTTAGTCCCATGATTCTAGGCTTGTCAAAATTTATAAATGAACACGGATTCACTAAGTCGCTAAAAACTTATTCGACATTAGTTCTTTTAAATCTGTTTCACATGCAGACTGACGTTTTGCCTTTGACCAACTGCCTGAAAAATATTGAGCTACCAAGTGACTTGGGCGATTATTTTATCAGTTGGATCGAATGCAAGGAGATCCAGAGTATTCCAAAAGTAAAAGGGAAAATAGCTCTAACCCTAAAACAGTTTAGCGAAACGTTTTTGACTGGGGACATCACCGACTTTTTAAAAAACGATCCACTTGATTATTATGCTGAATATTCTTTAAATTTACTTTACACTGTAATGTGTTATATTGGCAATTTGTTGAAAAATAATGCCATTTCAAAACAAATAGCAGAGAACTATACAAGGTTTGTTGAACATCTGATAAAAAATGGATTATTCAAAGATTCTTTCATACATCTACTCTTATGCAATCCGATCCTGGTATCAAATGTGACTTTTCTTGCTTTGCAAAAAGAGAAACCACAATCATTCGCAAATAATGCTACTGTCGATATTTTAAAATGCTTGATAGAGGCAAAATTTAATGTTGATGAATATTTGAAAATGTATAGGAAAAAGCTACTGATTTCTATTTTGAAAATTTTATCTAAACCGCAAAAGTACGAAGAATACCGAATTAACTTGAGAAACTTGTTATCACTTGTGCGATTAGAGTACGACCATTGTTTTGTGATTTTCCGAAATGTCTCGGAACTCTATGAAAGTTTTCCAGAAAAATCTGACATCATTTTAGAGATATTGACATTTGCGCTGAGATCCTTTTCATCAATTTGTAAAAGTAATAATGTTTTAAAGCCATTCGAGCCTGAGATGGTTAAACACCTGTCAAAATACCTAGCTGGATTAAATAAACACGAAATCGAAACTAGTGATATATGCACAGCACTTTGCGAATATTTGGAGGTATTTCCTCATGATGTTGGAAATATCGACCACAATTTATTCAAATCGATCATACAAAGATCTGAATCAAATAAGGGTAGCATTCGTGTAGCAACGTTACTTTTAGAAAAAGATAACAAATATATAGATGTAATTAAAGAATGTTTGGATATTGTATGCGAGAAAAAGTCTATTATTTTACCGTTAGTGCAAATTTTAGTTGCAAAAAATGTAGACGATGAGCTACTGCTGAGCATTTTTCAAAAAATAAAACCCGTTTTGTTAAAAGCTTTGCAGAAACCACAAAAAGCTGGGCAACATTTTCACCAAAATTACACGGGAACTGGTACGATCCTCCAAAAGTTTTTTGACTCGGCAGATTGCGTCGACTTCGTGCAAAAGGTTCAGAAGTTTGAAGTGTCCGAAGTTTTTCATGTACACTTCCTTTCTACTGTATATAAAAAGGTTATAGATGAAAATATAAGTGGAAAGTATATAAATAATATAGTTTTAACTCTGATCCATCTTCAGTTGCCGGTTTTAAAGCGCAATTTGACAACGGAAGAAGATATTTCCAAACTTAAGCAAATAGCAACTATATTCGATAATATTCTGCAGAATTTAAAACTGTATTGTTCAGATAAAGGTCTCCAAAGCATATGCAATAACGATTCGTTCAAGCTATACTGTAAGTACTGTTTAAAATTCGGCATCCCGCGCCAAACAATCCTCCTTAAGGTGCTACAAAAGTTACTGGGTAATCTAGTGGATAGTTTGGATCCTGACTATGTAAAACTATTGATGGACATGTTTGTATCCCATTCTGAGTTCCTAGAGAAAATGTTGGGGGAAAAGTGTGACCTGAAGGAGCAGATTCTGAAGTTGTTTTTGACATTCTGTCAGCATTGGCCCAATCTGATGCAGAGGTGCCATCTACCGGTACTTCTCGCAAGTTATACTGCCATGGTTAATAGGTGTGATATGGTGATATTGACGCTACTGAAGATGTTAGTAGATAATTCCAAGAACGAAATACATTTATACGTGACCAGATAAAATGTTTCCAGGTACGAATCACGTGCTGAAACAACGAAATTCTACGACTTCAAGCCCTTTCTTTGGGGCAAAGCGGCATCCAGCCATTACTCAGTCCGATCAAATGTTGAGAATGTACTCTGGAGACATCCTAAGATGAGTGATGTTCTTGATATTCTCCAGGAAAACTTAGTTAATTCAACAATAATCAATTACCCATTTAGGAACAGTCTAGATGTGGGTATAGAGGGAAATCAAGTCCAAGATGATGCGGAGAGTTATGACCTAAAATTCTTGTTGCTTGTTTTTAGTCAGTTGTTGGCACCTGAGCAACTAGTACAAACCTACAAGTTCTCCCGATCAGGTAAAAAAATAGTGAGAATCGTCTTAATTAGAGTAAAAAAATAAAAATCTTTTCCAGGGGCTCTGAGTTTGACTGTCGTAGCTTTAAGCAGTCATTGTACAGAAGTGAGGCAGGCTGCCTCCCATGTTCTCTCACGGTTCTATTTTCATTTAGAAGGGAGGCAATCCGGAAAAGATACCCCGCTTTGGATTAGATACGTTGATGCTGTGTGCAAAGGTATATCTTGTTGGTTATGTTTCACGTTTTATCAGAAAAAGCAAATAAAATTCTTTTCATACTATCTCTGCAAACTCGATTTTTTTTTCGCAAGCGTCGTCGGTTGCAGAATAAGTATTCAATTCATCATACCGCAGTTTCATATTGACCATTTGAGCGAACTTTTGTACACGGTGATTCTGAGGAAGCACACTGAAGCCTTTTTGACCTATAATAATATATTCTTTTAGGTGCTGCAGCATTGCCAAACTTCAAAATCAACAACTTTGCATCTATTTACCTTGCCAAAATGGCAATGGTGCTCACACAACCAACTGACGTCATGTACCTACCTCTCTCCCATTATTTGACTGCCAAATCCGCGCTGGACTTTAGCACTGTTCCTGAACTGTACACTTTTCTGCACAGTTCAGACGTTAACTACAAAGAACACAGACAGTTCATCTTAGAATTATTGAGAGACGGTTTGAGATGTACGAAAGATATAGCCGCGTTTCTCAAATCCATGGCGTGGAAGTTGATCTCGGAACTGTATGTTAGTTGCGTAGCGGATTCCGATACAAAACTATTGATTCTCGATGTGTTTATATCAGTGTGTAAAATACCCGTAGGTGTTAGAGTGTTATGTGAAAATCATTCGTTTTTGTCCCAAATTACCTGCGATGTACAATCTATTTTAGACAGTGCGGTGAAAGATAACTCGGAAAATATTTTTCTGAATAAGTTCCTTCAGATTTTGTTGTACATATTAAAAGGTTTAAATGGAAGAACTGACGCTTTTATGATATTTGTAATCTTGGAACAAATACTATCTAGCGAAGTATTTGATTTGGTAGTTAAAATGAATGAAAGGATATTATATCAAGCTATGTATCTAACTTACGAGAAATGCCCTGAGTATTTTTCAAACGAGATTTTAGATAAGTTGTTAGAAAGAAGCGACGATGCGTTTTGTAAATATGTTATCGAGTATGGTTGTAAATTTGTAGATATCAAAACATTGGATCAAAATGATGCTAGATATTATTTGAGGCTGCTAATCATAAAAATGAAATCGTAAGGAACATTTCTCGAAGGAACAGCTATTTTGACACTGTTATGTACGTGGACCAGATTTTATAAACATTTTAACAGCATATCAGATAGAACACTAACGCTCAGAATGGTTTCAACCAGCTGGAAGTTGCTGGCCTAATTTATGTAGGAATAACGTTTAAAGGTCGAATACACGTTCACACTTAGTTCTGAAATCTAGCCCAAAGGAATTCGTGGTGAAATTGCTAACAAAATTCTTGCTGCATTTAATTAAGAACTATAGCGTATAGTTAGCTAGGTGGTGAACATCTCGTGTTCACAGTTATTCTGAATTAACCTAGAATTTAGGTGTGCTTGGGCTCTAATAGGAGTGAATAGTGAATCGATATGGCTTAAACTTTATTTAAATTGTTTACAGTTATGAAATACTGAAACAGGTCTTATTGTGACATCGGACGATAACTCCGTTATTACTCATAACTAAAAAAATTAAATACAAAAATTGTAGCCAACAGCTCCTGATTCACAACTACGTGGTGACTTAACATACATTTTTTTTAATGGAAAAGTCTTCAATTTATTTAAAATTTGGATAGGCCTTTTCAAACAAATCAATTTAATATAACATACTATAGGGATTTATTTCCATTCTATCGAAAATAGCAATAAATTTTGTAACTGTTATTGAATTGCATTTGAATTTTTTGCCAAAAAATTACCGTTCCCACATTTTCTTCCTATTTATTTACCTTTTTGAGCTTCTTGAACAGTTTATGAAGGGTCAATGAGGCGAAATGAACTATTTCTCCAAATTTTCAAATGGAACACCCTGTAAAGATTCGCATTTTTCAATTTCCTTTTTCACAAGCCTTTCTCTCATTATAAGGTTTATTGGAGTTTGTATGACTGGAAACATACAGACACCTTGAGTTTTTGACCTTATTTCATGAATCTGGGTAGATTTAATTTATAACAAAAATACAATTCTACCTCCCATTACCAACTAAAAGCTGTTTAATTTTGAAAGGTATTGTAATATTTCTCGTTTAGCTTGATATCTGATTTACAAAAAGCTCAGCCTGAACTTAAGAACCAGTAGTACAATCCTCCATAAACATTATGTCAAAAAAGAAAAGGAATCAAGGAATGCGAAAATATACAGTGTGTTCCATTTAAACATTATCCTTTATTTTGCGTTCTTGACCATTATGTTGTGTAAACTGTACAATAGACTGAAAAAGTAAGTGAATAGGAACAAAATATGGGATCATAAAATTTCCTGACGAAAAATTCAGTACTCTAGCCAGAACATTTGTGATGGTGCGAGTTGTCAGCTTTTTCAGTTTTAGTTTGTCCAGTGTCTCAGCAGCTTGAAAATAAGTCCCTACGTAGTGTGTTGTATAACGTAGTTTCGAATCAGACTGACGAGGTAAAAATATTTTACCCGTAAGGAGTTATCGTCCAAGTCCACACTAAAAACTCACCCTGTATATATAATGTTTGAAAACCGCATTTCATAGGTACCTAGGAAATGTATGCCTAAATATGTTTTATCTTTGTTTTATTATGAACACTGTTTTTCAGTGTCAATTTTTATTCATATATTTTATAAAATGTGATAATAAAGCTATACAAAAAATATACAAGCTGTCTTCCTTTCTCGTAGAATAATTGCAAAAGTCTCGCTGACAGACGTCACATAGAACTCCTTTCTGGATTTCCTTTCTTGTCATGAGTGTGTCCATTATTGAGGAACAAGTATCATTACTAGTGCATCCTCTAGCAGTTGTTATGTAGGAATTTGATGTACTTAGATCGGTTGCTGGAAAAATAGATAGAAAGCACGTGAACATAGCCATGAAATGACGAGAAATTACGAGCCGAATGACGTAAAAGTACCGTGAAATTGACATCCTAATGTCACATACCTGTGACGTCAGATGACTTACGTAAATAATACGTCAGTTATTACTGACCGTGAACATGACGTCTGTAATTTATAGTTGTTGCTATTATGAAACCTCCTATCTAACAATTTTCCTCCATCGGAGCTTTCTGAATATCTGTATGGTCAAATATGAGCTCTGTGATCTGATGTACAAGAGTTTCATAATAAGAAACTGATAATTCTGTGTGTGTAAAAATCGGTGTGAATGAAAGGAATATTCGACAAAACTACGGCATTATATTGAACAAACAGTCTTATCTCCTTCAAAAAATCTTATACTGCGATAATCTTAGTATTACACAGATGGCACCGGTATTATGTAAATAACCTATAGACCGTCAAAAAAACCTATAAAATGTCATCTTGCAGACTAGGTAGTTTTTATGGAGCAAACAGTCATTCCACGTTTGCTCACTAGGATCGTTATGAGCGTCCATCTATGGAATAGCTCAACTACACGCATTGTTGGTTGCATATGTTTTGTGAAGCCGAGTGGTCTGTGGTTTTCATCTTTGAGAAGAAAGCTGGTTGAATAATAAGACCGCATCTGGATGATTGTATGTGTTGGTCTGCATTTGTACAAAATCAGTGATATTTGCTGTGTGAGAAAATCAATACTGAATATGCTGCCAATGAAGTATATCTATTAACTGTGCCCGACGGGTTATTTATATGTTGTCCTATCTGAGGACATGTTATATTCAAAGTTATAAATTACGATTTTTTTTTTGTGTTTTCAAAAATGTTGAGGAGTATTTCGGGAAATCACCACCACACCCGCGTTCTGTGTAATAACTGTTAGCATGTATATGACTTGTAATTCGACAGAGTACAGTAAATATACTTATTTATCTTATCTCTTTCTTTTTTGAAATTCAGCAAATTTACGTATATAATTTTCAGAATAGATAAGAAAAAGTGGATGCGCAACTAATTTCTAGCTTTAAATTTCAAGTAACTCTATTTGAGACAAGAATCCAATGGAATTATCATCAACACATATTATTAGCACACAAATCCTCACTATGCACCTATACATTGCCATTACCCCCAGTAATGGCAACTTTAAAGCAGATTTTACAGAGCCAAACATTGATAATTGAAGCCTCAAGACGTTAAGGCAACACGTACAACTACAAAACGAGTTCTCATCGTGCAAATCAGTGCTAAGTTAACATCTTTTAGAAAAACCCACATAATGTCACAAAAAACCAGTATAATGTCAAAAAAAATCGACATAATGTCACTGTTCAAGATACGTAATACCCGTGCGGGAATCCGGTATTCTATACAATACCTAGTTAATGTATAGAATACCTAAAACGTGTAGGAAATGTATGAAATATTATTTGTTTTATACTTTGCCTAGGTATTCTATCCAATACCGAATACGCAGTCGGTAATGTATGTAAAAAACGAGAGCAAGGAAGTTGTACTTATCGGCAGGCAGGCAATAATTATTTAATTGAAAATGGCAGCCGATCAATGAATATCTGAGATGAGAGAAAGATTTTATTCACAATTACAAATTAAAAGAGAAGCAGCAATTACTAAAGATCGCACGTTTATGAACAATTGTTAGAAGAAATAAAAAATGCACTTCAAAATGTCACAGTTCCTCATGTAAAAATAAATATTTTTTTTTACTTAATTAAAATTTTCACTAGGCAGTAGACCTACTTATTATTTTCAGGATTGCTTTCTTTCTTAAGTACATGTAAGAATATTTTTTTATTTAACTAAAACTTTGACTAAGCAGCGTATATTTTTACAGAATTATTTTGTTTCTCAAGTTTTTTATACGGTTTACCTACTTACTTGTAAGCCAAAAAAATTACATTATGTTACATATAGCCAGAATAATTTTTAGCTTCACGTTAATTTTACTGTGATTTTACTGTAGTAACAGAAAGGTGCTTTTCTGTACCCTTTTCATAAAGCTTATTTTCAAGGAGAACTCTAATTGTTAATCTTAAGAAACTTGATTTTAAATAATATAACTTGTTTCATTTGCCCGTCATTTCATAGGTATGCCGGTTAACATTAATAAATTTAAACCAAGATCTATTTATTTTACACATTGCCGGTGGAACAGCAGGTACTCTATACAATCCCTAGGGATTGTATTCATTACCTAGGTAAAGTTATGTAATGGATAATAATATTCATGATATTTCATACATTGCCTTGGCAACCCAAGTATTCTATACATTGTCTAGGTATTGTATAGAATACCTGAATTATACAGATTACCGGTAACATATATACATATAAAAACAAATACAATTCAAATAACACGTCATAACAACGTCCTAAAGGCGTCATTATGATCGAGATTCTGCGAGATTTGGTAGAATTTGAAGGATCAGGCATATGCTCCCTGATCCTGTCACAGAAGTGGCCACTATCAAATGGACTAGCAACGCATGTGTATCCTGATTTTTGTTTAATTATAAACTTACTTTCATACTGATATGTGATACAAACGTCATCTTTGGCACAGCTCATTCGATCGAGGGAATCGATATTGCCATAGTAACAGTCTCTTTTGAAAGACTCCGAACATTTGTAGCATTCCAAACAGTTTCCTAAAACAATACAAATATAAGATTTGGATTTCGAATTATCGGGTTTTCAACTTGAAAATAAAGTAAATGAAAGATCAGATATATTTATAACTAGGACGTGGCCATAAAATTGTGGTAATGCATTTCTATGAAAATTTGAATGAGGTAGATATTTGAAGTGAGAAACAGAATTCCAGCAAGTGAGATGTATGAAACTCAAATAACAAATAGCGCGTGAAAGCTTAAAAGTGCTGGATTTTACTCACCTTCTCTTATGCTAATAACAACTAAGATCGTGAAAATGAAAAAATGCCCGACTGTTGATTTATTCATTTCTATAGTTGTTAGAGAAGCCTCCCAAGGAATTTTTGTTTCGCTTCAATACGTTCTCGAAGAATAGTAAATGGGATCGTTTCGATGTAAACTACATCACCTATTTTTAAAGCATTGTATATTGTACGCAAAAACGAAATGTGCTATAAATCTTTCACACTGTTGGACTATGGATGCTGAATTGTAAATGCCAGCAGCGCTTTAAAATTTAATCTAGCTGGGTGCAAACGAATGTTGCTGTATGAGAAATTGTCACCCAATTGTTTGAAAGCTGTTGAATGGTTCCCATGATTTATATTGTAGTAATAGCAGCGATCCGCTCGCGTGGAAGTAGTGTAAAGTATAGGTCTTGCATTAGTCTGAATGAGATTAGTTTCGGAGAATGAAATGCAATGTTCAAAGTCATGCAATACTTGCTTTGGTGATAGAAATTTTTTATTCAACATTTTAATGCAACACTATATAAATGTCTCTCGAGTCTGTCAGCAATCCTTAAAAAACATAACTTATCTATGCCTATAAATACTAACTACGAGGGAGTATCAAAAAAAAACGGAATTATTTTTTAAAAGCTAATTATTTTCAACTTTTTCACAAAGTAACCTTATCTCCTTCAAAATACTGGCCACTACAACTAATACACTTGTCCCACCAGTGCCTCCACTGCTCGAAACATTTTTTGAAGTCTTCCTTAGTAATGTCGGACAGCTCTTCCCTCGTTTTTTTCTTGACCTCTTCAATGTCGTCAAAGCGGCGTCCTTTCATGCCCAGCGGAACCATGCCATTTTTAGCCAGAAACTGTCGAACGGCGATGGCTGTTTGCATTATCGTGGTGGAAGAAGCAGTCTCCTGACTGCCACAAATCGGGTCTTTTTGCAGAACACTGTTTCGCAGCCGTCTTAAAACCTCCAAATAGCACAAGCTCTCGAATTTTTTCAACATTTTCGTCGATTCGGGCAGTTGATGGACGCCCAGAGCGAGGTTTGTCATTAGTCGAAATGTCGCCATTTTTAAATCGATCAAACCACTCGTACACCCGAGTTTTTTCCATAGCATCATCTTTGTAAGCTATTTTCAGCATTAAAACATTTTCAGCAGCATTTTCACCAATTAGAAAGCAAAATTTCATGCTGTATGCCTCTAGGGGCAGAAATGTGAATTACACAAGCTCCGCCCACTACAATGTTATTCCGGTTATTTTTCGGTACCCCCTCGTATATACCCTATTTCACGAGTATCCATAACGAATTTTTGTGTAAGTTCTATTAAATTGTTATTAAATGAACTTTTCTAAATAAATGATCTTTTAGCAAGGACAAAATTAGTCTGTTGCTTACGAAAAAAGCCAAAACAAAATATGGTTCTGCCTATTGACGGATCCGTCAGAATTATGTATCCTTTGCCGATATGAGAAATGTTCAAACTTCTAGATAATCAGCTGTCATTCTATCGCAATGGATACTCGTGAAAAAACTATATGTTATATAAAAAACTCGACACTTACCTAACCAAAAAAACAATCAACATCAGGGTTGTTTCGTTTTAAACATTTTGTTTTAAAAATGTTTTAAACATTCGCTTAGGTTTAAAACAGTTTTTGTTTAAAACGATTTAAAACACTTAAATTAAACAAGCATTTTTTCTTCATTTTGTTTATTAATATAATAAATAAAAATAGGAAATGTTCTCTAATACATTATACAAACTTTTTAACATAAAAATTGGAAAACAAATATTTTGCATACAAGTGTTAACAAATTCCCCACACTCTTTCAGTCTCATAGTCATCTAAAAGTCTTCAATCTGATATCTGATCACCACTGATGGAATTAAGCTCTTTAAAAATTGATACCAACTTAGCAGCTTTGACATTGCTGAGCTGATCACGTTGTTTTGAATGGACTGAACCGTATGATGAAAAGAGTCTTTCTATGTTGGCTGACGATGCAATAGCTGTATGAAGCTGTTGAGAGCAAGTTCCAAGGCTGTGGTATTTATATTTTTTATAGAACGCCACCATGCGAATGGTTTTACATTTACATTCTCAATTAGATGTTTAGAAAACATATATAGTTTAAAGGATACACACTCTGCCTAAGTTTATTGCCTCTAAAGCGATGATCAAGCCAATTTGCCAAAAAATGAGCTGTGGTCAAAGCCATTTTTATGCGCTCCTCGACTTTATTCGTATCACTTACCGAAATTTCTCCATTTGCTTGTTCAGTCGAAAGATTCTAAAAATTCTAGCCATATCTCTGTAGCCTCTCCTATAGTGCAATTGTTTCTTTTACTTTGTCCAAAACAAATGCGACATACTTTAATTTTTTTAAATAGTCTTGGGCATTTGTCTTTAAATTGGTGAACATTTAAAATTCAAAGTTACCTGTATTATTATCTGGGTAAACATTCTTTGGATATTTTTGAGTTTTGGATATCTCATCTAGCGTTAAATCCTCCTCTGACTCGGAATCATAGATAATTGACATTGGTAGCTGAGAATTTTCAGATGGAACACATTTTTGTATATGTTTCTTCATACGCAGCACTAGTCCAGCCATAATTACTTTACATTTTTTACATTTAGCAGTCACTGATTTCTTGTTATTATCTTTAACAACATCAAAATAGGACCAAATGGCACCTTTCTTCCTTCCTGAAGACGACATTTTTTAAAAAAAGAACACCACAAAATAACTTACAGTAGACGTTATTGCAATAGCCAACTTGCAAGACGAATTTATAAATATACTGGGTTCCCCCAAGCCATTCCTCATTGCAATTGGTTTTTGTTATTTCGGGGATTCCCCGGCACAGCCTAACGGCAGCGTGGCGCGACGTAGCTCGTAATGGTACCCATTCACATACAGTTCGCCTGCAGTTCTGGAACTGTACAACCTGAACTGAAGATTCAAACTTTCTCAGACCATACACTATTCAGTTATTTGAAACGACGCGGCCTGCAGTTTTGAGACTGACAGGTTCTGAACTGCAGGAAAACTGTGCCTTCTTCACTCACACAAACATTTTGTCAGTTCTGATCGGCCGAGAGTACAACAATGGTGTTAATTAAGATGTTAAGAAAAAAAAGCTCGCAGCACTTCTTGTACTATTATTATTACAAGAACCAATAACAAGGGCAAAAAAACGTTTTTGGGTAAAAGATTGGTTGTTGCAACCTGATACATTATCTCATATGACATTAGTGCGAAAGTTGAGAACCAGTGCCACAAATGACCTTAATCACTATCTCAGAATGGATGATATGTGCTTTAATGAACTTTTATCGATGGTGAAGCCATACATATCAAAGAAAAATACAAATATGAGGAAATCAATCACAGCCGAGGAACGATTGATAGTAACAGCTGATAGCGACAGTTTAGTACAGAGTCGGACTTTAAATAAGGTATCTTATTATTTAGTTATTTAGTAGAATAATAGGTCGAACATTGACAATTAATATTATGAAAAAATATGATTCAAACAATGTTTCTTTCTAAGTTTCATTTGTCTAAAACATAAAATGTAAAAACAAAAAAAAAAGATGGGTTTTGTATGAAATAAAAAAATTCATGTTTTTTTCAAAACTGATCAACATAGACATTTCCATGGATGACATATATTTTCACGGTATTGTATTAACGTAAATAATCGACAGAAAATACAAAAAAAATAATACATATTCCCAGTTGGTAGTCGTGCCTGGGAGAAAAGAAGCTATACGTATACATCCCCACTAATTATTGTTGTCTTCTGTTTTTTCTCGAATCCATGAGAAAGGCAGGTGCAGCATCATGTGACAATAATAGTTCTGGGTGGGTTTCACGCGTTCTCGACGTCGTTTGGTGTTTTCTGGGCGATCATTGTGTGGTGGCAAGTCTAGAATATCCTTAAAAGCAGATGATGCTCACTTACCACTTAGTTTTTTAAACAATAATTTATTTAGTGTCATCTCATCGCCTTGAAAGTGTAGTATCGCATAGTGTTTTCACGGTATTTGTTTGTTTAGTTTTGTTTTACACTGTTCATAATTTTGGCGTTTCGTATGACTATTATGCAACTATCTTCAACGCTGTCAGCTCGACAACTCTGTTATCTCTTGTTGATCTTCGTTATGAAGATGACTATGGAAATGTAAATCATTATAGGAAGCCGGTTATCAGATTGTAAGGTTAATTTCCCTTTCGATGGATGTTATTTTGTATTTCGAGCCGAACATCGTAACTGAAGATACAGATGGATTAATTTTTAGGTTATGCGAGCGCGAGATGTCTACCAGCCCTGTTAAATCTTCGTTGATTAATGCATCTGCCCTTCAAAAATCTTTGTGTTTAAAACTAAAATAAATTTGAGTATCATCGGCACAGTGATGGATTGTACAATTACGGAAATATTCATGGAAATGTGACACATACAGAGAGAAAAGTGTAGGACCCAATATGGAACCTTGAGGAACACCGTACTTTATAGCGGCTGATTAGTGTATTTTGCTGTAAAATGCTCTTTGAACTAACCTTGTATATTGCTCAATAAACTAGTAGTGATGTCCGGAAAACAGGTGTATTGGGATTATGTTATTGTTGTTACTATGTTAATATTTCCTTAGCAGTACTTTGCATGATATATTACTCGATATAGTTGTTTATGCTAGAACTTATTGGCGAGACCTCGTATCCGTAACCTGTGGTTTTATGTGGAATGTTGGATGTCAATAGTACGGAGCGAGGGATATTTTTTGAGTTAGTTAAGAATTAAACGTGGTATTGAGCGAATGTAATTTCGGAATATATTGGGATAATACCCGTGTTTTCTTAGAATAAACAATTAGATATTCTCAAAAAACTACTTGTTCATTATACTACAATTTTGCTGTTGTTATCCAGAAGTATGAATCCTGCTTATTTAACGAATTTCAAGTAGTTGCGTAAAATTATCGTCGGATTACCAACAAGTGACAAAACCTGCATTTTGCCTGGTTTTTCGCCCCTAACATTTTTGCTATTAGTCGGATCTTTTCACGTGTGGTCTCGATCTGTAGGCCTCATAAATACCTCAAAAACTTACAAAACCGTATGTTTGTTCCTGACAACACTTTCGATTTAATCCCAAAAAACAAGTTTTATCATCCTTTGTTGTCAAATAAAAAGTTTTCCCACAAAAATTGGTGTAACCATTTTATGCGTCTATGTTTAAAATGCGCACTTGAACAACATGCACCAATAAAACCGGACTTTGAAATTGTTTCGGGGAAATTTGCTAATATGATTAGACTATATGTTAGATGAACGCCTACATTGGAAATATACATTTATTAGATTTGCTTAGCGGTGCACTTGTAGCCTGTCCAGAAAATGCGTCGATCGATGTACAAAGTCAATACCACACGTCCCGCATTTCTTCCCGCATATGTTTCTATTTATGTTGCTATATTGAAATTTGTTTAAGTCAAAGAAGCTTCTTCACTACATGTGAATTCCTGTTCTTGGTTCGTGCAAACATACATTATCAAAATAGTTACGATCTAACATATATAGTTTTTTCCAAAGATTTCCAACATTTTTACATGCGATCAACACCGATTCGAAAACTGAGAAAACAACTATGCTGTAAATCTAAGATCGACAACGAAAGTCTGAAGAATAACATCTATATTGAATTTCAAAAAATAATTGACTATACCTATCTATATTTTTATCACCTGCTGATATAATAGAAGTGCTTGATTGTGTCAGTATTTACACCAATTACTTGATTTGTTTAACAGGTAGTTCAGAGTATTAATCCTTAAGCTTAGTACACACTAGTAGACCCCGTTGCGCAATTTGTCTATAGGCAGAATCGAGACGGTCTCAAGACACGATCTATAGATGGTCTAAAGACCTTCTTTGTCTCGTCTAGAGTCCATACGATAATGCGAATTTTTCGGTCGCATGTTCGTTTTCACAATCAAAGGCATTGTTTTGTGTGGAATGGCTGGGATATGTTTCGGGATCCCTCAAAATGACTTTTTTGGTTAACAGAGCAATGAAGTTTTTGATGTTTTAATCTTTAATATTATTACAGTAGTTAATTATAAATGCCACGTAATTCTTTTGTTCTCGTGTAATAACATATTGCCTTTCTGAGGATTTCTGAGCACTTTCCGTATTTTTTTCAAGTTTGCATTGAACAGATAGAACACAATGGACTTAATGATCAATAATAGGATACATTCCAGAAGTTTCACTGAGGTAGAAAAATTACCAGCCCCAAATATCGTTTGCGACCCCCCCCCCCCCCCTAGACGAAATCCTGAATCCGGCCTTGGGGTGTTACGGGTAATAAAAGTTAATACAAACGTAAAACGGTTTATTACATGTCTACGAATAATAAATTAATACAGTTTCGAGATGACAGCACTGAAGGCCAAAGCAACAAGGGGTACGCTATAAGATGCGGTGTTGATGTATGCACCATTTAGAGTACCTCCATTGCATTGTATTAACGTAAATAATCGACAGAAAATACAAAAAAAATAATACATATTCCCAGTTGGTAGTCGTGCCTGGGAGAAAAGAAGCTATACGTATACATCCCCACTAATTATTGTTGTCTTCTGTTTTTTCTCGAATCCATGAGAAAGGCAGGTGCAGCATCATGTGACAATAATAGTTCTGGGTGGGTTTCACGCGTTCTCGACGTCGTTTGGTGTTTTCTGGGCGATCATTGTGTGGTGTCAAGTCTAGAATATCCTTAAAAGCAGATGATGCTCACTTACCACTTAGTTTTTTAAACAATAATTTATTTAGTGTCATCTCATCGCCTTGAAAGTGTAGTATCGCATAGTGTTTTCACAGTATTTGTTTGTTTAGTTTTGTTTTACACTGTTCATAATTTTGGCGTTACGTATGACTATTATGCAACTATCTTCAATGCTGTCAGCTCGACAACTCTGTTATCTCTTGTTGATCTTCGTTATGAAGATGACTATGGAAATGTAAATCATTATAGGAAGCCGGTTATCAGATTGTAAGGTTAATTTCCCTTTCGATGGATGTTATTTTGTATTTCGAGCCGAACATCGTAACTGAAGATACAGATGGATTAATTTTTAGGTTATGCGAGCGCGAGATGTTTACCAGCCCTGTTAAATCTTCGTTGATTAATGCATCTGCCCTTCAAAAATCTTTGTGTTTAAGACTAAAATAAATTTGAGTATCATCGGCACAGTGATGGATTGTACAATTACGGAAATATTCATGGAAATGTGACACATACAGAGAGAAAAGTGTAGGACCCAATATGGAACCTTGAGGAACACCGTACTTTATAGCGGCTGATTCCGATATTTTCGAAGCTGATAGGACCTTTTGATTTTCATTTAACAAATAACAACGTATTAAATTGACTGACACTTTCTAGAGCCGTTGCTGTGCTGTGGTTTTCCTTGGAATTATTTTTGGTTTCACTTCCGGTTCCAAAATGCGAGAAAGATTTTTCGCAGAACATTTCCGAATTCAGCGCCTTAAATTACCTAAGTGCGCAGTTTTTCTTGAATATCCTATGACAAATTCTTCAAAAACCCGTTTTCTGCGTAAATCGCGCCCCCCCCTAGACGTCTGACACTTGCTTTTGTGATCTAACACCATTGTGTTGCTTTCTGACACATCATGGGGTCAGAGGCATACTAACCAAAAGTTATAGCTATAGGAACTGAACATTGCGATTTATGGTATCCTTTGTCCCTCTTCGACATCACTTACGTTTACAGCACAATTCTTACGATTTATACGTATATACCAGCACTGTGACTTGTGACAAATCCAAGTCTAAGCAGTATATTAGCTATACAGATTGCAGATATCGCAGATATTTGAAATTCTTCAAATTCCTAGGATTGGTACTTCAAAATAACCACAACAAAATTGGAGTAGATTGGTCAAGTAAGTATTTTGTGAGAATTTCTAATTGTTTATGCCAAGACATATGTTTTCCGGCCATCACTACTAGTTTTCTTGAGCAATATACATGGGTTTGTTCAAAGGGCATTTTATAGCAAAATACACTAATTTACCTTGTCGATGTGAATCGTAAACTATTCCGGAAGATAAATGTTGTTTTTATGCAAAAAAAGGATGGGTTACGTTTTTCTTCTAAACAACTTCAAACATTTCGTATTTGTGAGTAACTCGCAACAAAAGATGATAGACACATCCGCTTTGTTTTAAAATGTGTATAGTAACGAATGTATTTCGAATATCGTAGCGCATTTGCTCAGTTATTCACAAATACCAAATGTCTGAATTCGCTTCGAAGAAAAAAAAGTAACCTTTGTTTATCGCATAAAAATAACATTTATCTTTTGGAATGGTTTGTAATTCATATCGGCAAGAAAAATTAGTGTATTTTGCTGTAAAATGCTCTTTGAACTAACCTTGTATATTGCTCAATAAACTAGTAGTGATGTCCGGAAAACAGGTGTATTGGGATTATGTTATTGTTGTTACTATGTTAATATTTCCTTAGCAGTACTTTGCATGATATATTACTCGATATAGTTGTTTATGCTAGAACTTATTGGCGAGACCTCGTATCCGTAACCTGTGGTTTTATGTGGAATGTTGGATGTCAATAGTACGGAGCGAGGGATATTTTTTGAGTTAGTTAAGAATTAAACGTGGTATTGAGCGAATGTAATTTCGGAATATATTGGGATAATACCCGTGTTTTCTTAGAATAAACAATTAGATATTCTCAAAAAACTACTTGTTCATTATACTACAATTTTGCTGTTGTTATCCAGAAGTATGAATCCTGCTTATTTAACGAATTTCAAGTAGTTGCGTAAAATTATCGTCGGATTACCAACAAGTGACAAAACCTGCATTTTGCCTGGTTTTTCGCCCCTAACATTTTTGCTATTAGTCGGATCTTTTCACGTGTGGTCTCGATCTGTAGGCCTCATAAATACCTAAAAAACTTACAAAACCGTATGTTTGTTCCTGACAACACTTTCGATTTAATCCCAAAAAACAAGTTTTATCATCCTTTGTTGTCAAATAAAAAGTTTTCCCACAAAAATTGGTGTAACCATTTTATGCGTCTATGTTTAAAATGCACACTTGAACAACATGCACCAATAAAACCGGACTTTGAAATTGTTTCGGAGAAATTTGCTAATATGATTAGACTATATGTTAGATGAACGCCTACATTGGAAATATACATTTATTAGATTTGCTTAGCGGTGCACTTGTAGCCTGTCCAGAAAATGCGTCGATCGATGTACAAAGTCAATACCACACGTCCCGCATTTCTTCCCGCATATGTTTCTATTTATGTTGCTATATTGAAATTTGTTTAAGTCAAAGAAGCTTCTTCACTACATGTGAATTCCTGTTCTTGGTTCGTGCAAACATACATTATCAAAATAGTTACGATCTAACATATATAGTTTTTTCCAAAGATTTCCAACATTTTTACATGCGATCAACACCGATTCGAAAACTGAGAAAACAACTATGCTGTAAATCTAAGATCGACAACGAAAGTCTGAAGAATAACATCTATATTGAATTTCAAAAAATAATTGACTATACCTATCTATATTTTTATCACCTGCTGATATAATAGAAGTACTTGATTGTGTCAGTATTTACACCAATTACTTGATTTGTTTAACAGGTAGTTCAGAGTATTAATCCTTAAGCTTAGTACACACTAGTAGACCCCGTTGCGCAATTTGTCTATAGGCAGAATCGAGACGGTCTCAAGACACGATCTATAGATGGTCTAAAGACCTTCTTTGTCTCGTCTAGAGTCCATACGATAATGCGAATTTTTCGGTCACATGTTCGTTTTCACAATCAAAGGCATTGTTTTGTGTGGAATGGCTGGGATATGTTTCGGGATCCCTCAAAATGACTTTTTTGGTTAACAGAGCAATGAAGTTTTTGATGTTTTAATCTTTAATATTATTACAGTAGTTAATTATAAATGCCACGTAATTCTTTTGTTCTCGTGTAATAACATATTGCCTTTCTGAGGATTTCTGAGCACTTTCCGTATTTTTTTCAAGTTTGCATTGAACAGATAGAACACAATGGACTTAATGATCAATAATAGGATACATTCCAGAAGTTTCACTGAGGTAGAAAAATTACCAGCCCCAAATATCGTTTGCGACCCCCCCCCCCCCTAGACGAAATCCTGAATCCGGCCTTGGGGTGTTACGGGTAATAAAAGTTAATACAAACGTAAAACGGTTTATTACATGTCTACGAATAATAAATTAATACAGTTTCGAGATGACAGCACTGAAGGCCAAAGCAACAAGGGGTACGCTATAAGATGCGGTGTTGATGTATGCACCATTTAGAGTACCTCCATTGCATTGTATTAACGTAAATAATCGACAGAAAATACAAAAAAAATAATACATATTCCCAGTTGGTAGTCGTGCCTGGGAGAAAAGAAGCTATACGTATACATCCCCACTAATTATTGTTGTCTTCTGTTTTTTCTCGAATCCATGAGAAAGGCAGGTGCAGCATCATGTGACAATAATAGTTCTGGGTGGGTTTCACGCGTTCTCGACGTCGTTTGGTGTTTTCTGGGCGATCATTGTGTGGTGGCAAGTCTAGAATATCCTTAAAAGCAGATGATGCTCACTTACCACTTAGTTTTTTAAACAATAATTTATTTAGTGTCATCTCATCGCCTTGAAAGTGTAGTATCGCATAGTGTTTTCACAGTATTTGTTTGTTTAGTTTTGTTTTACACTGTTCATAATTTTGGCGTTACGTATGACTATTATGCAACTATCTTCAATGCTGTCAGCTCGACAACTCTGTTATCTCTTGTTGATCTTCGTTATGAAGATGACTATGGAAATATAAATCATTATAGGAAGCCGGTTATCAGATTGTAAGGTTAATTTCCCTTTCGATGGATGTTATTTTGTATTTCGAGCCGAACATCGTGACTGAAGATACAGATGGATTAATTTTTAGTTTATGCGAGCGCGAGATGTCTACCAGCCCTGTTAAATCTTCGTTGATTAATGCATCTGCCCTTCAAAAATCTTTGTGTTTAAAACTAAAATAAATTTGAGTATCATCGGCACAGTGATGGATTGTACAATTACGGAAATATTCATGGAAATGTGACACATACAGAGAGAAAAGTGTAGGACCCAATATGGAACCTTGAGGAACACCGTACTTTATAGCGGCTGATTCCGATATTTTCGAAGCTGATAGGACCTTTTGATTTTCATTTAACAAATAACAACGTATTAAATTGACTGACACTTTCTAGAGCCGTTGCTGTGCTGTGGTTTTCCCTGGAATTATTTTTGGTTTCACTTCCGGTTCCAAAATGCGAGAAAGATTTTTCGCAGAACATTTCCGAATTCAGCGCCTTAAATTACCTAAGTGCGCAGTTTTTCTTGAATATCCTATGACAAATTCTTCAAAAACCCGTTTTCTGCGTAAATCGCGCCCCCCCCCCCTAGACGTCTGATACTTGCTTTTGTGATCTAACACCATTGTGTTGCTTTCTGACACATCATGGGGTCAGAGGCATACTAACTATAAGTTATAGCTATAGGAACTGAACATTGCGATTTTTGGTATCCTTTGTCCCTCTTCGACATCACTTACGTTTACAGCACAATTCTTACGATTTATACGTATATACCAGCACTGTGACTTGTGACAAATCCAAGTCTAAGCAGTATATTAGCTATACAGATTGCAGATATCGCAGATATTTGAAATTCTTCAAATTCCTGGGATTGGTACTTCAAAATAACCACAACAAAATTGGAGTAGATTGGTCAAGTAAGTATTTTGTGAGAATTTCTAATTGTTTATGCCAAGACATATGTTTTCCGGCCATCACTACTAGTTTTCTTGAGCAATATACATGGGGTTGTTCAAAGGGCATTTTATAGCAAAATACACTAATTTACCTTGTCGATATGAATCGTAAACTATTCCGGAAGATAAATGTTGTTTTTATGCAAAAAAAGGATGGGTTACGTTTTTCTTCTAAACAAATTCAAACATTTCGTATTTGTGAGTAACTCGCAACAAAAGATGATAGACACATCCGCTTTGTTTTAAAATGTGTATAGTTAACGAATGTATTTCGAATATCGTAGCGCATTTGCTCAGTTATTCACAAATACCAAATGTCTGAATTCGCTTCGAAGAAAAAAAGTCACCTTTGTTTATCGCATAAAAATAACATTTATCTTTTGGAATGGTTTGTAATTCATATCGGCAAGAAAAATTAGTGTATTTTGCTGTAAAATGCTCTTTGAACTAACCCTGTATATTGCTCAATAAACTAGTAGTGATGTCCCGAAGACAGGTGTATTGGGATTATGTTATTGTTGTTACTATGTTAATATTTCCTTAGCAGTACTTTGCATGATATATTACTCGATATAGTTGTTTATGCTAGAACTTATTGGCGAGACCTCGTATCCGTAATCTGTGGTTTTATGTGGAATGTTGGATGTCAATAGTACGGAGCGAGGGATATTTTTTGAGTTAGTTAAGAATTAGACGTGGTATTGAGCGAATGTAATTTCGGAATATATTGGGATAATACCCGTGTTTTCTTAGAATAAACAATTAGATATTCTCAAAAAACTACTTGTTCATTATACTACAATTTTGCTGTTGTTATCCAGAAGTATGAATCCTGCTTATTTAACGAATTTCAAGTAGTTGCGTAAAATTATCGTCGGATTACCAACAAGTGACAAAACCTGCATTTTGCCTGGTTTTTCGCCCCTAACATTTTTGCTATTAGTCGGATCTTTTCACGTGTGGTCTCGATCTGTAGGCCTCATAAATACCTAAAAAACTTACAAAACCGTATGTTCGTTCCTGACAACACTTCCGATTTAATCCCAAAAAACACGTTTTATCATCCTTTGTTGTCAAATAAAAAGTTTTCCCACAAAAATTGGTGTAACCATTTTATGCGTCTATGTTTAAAATGCGCACTTGAACAACATGCACCAATAAAACCGGACTTTGAAATTGTTTCGGGGAAATTTGCTAATATGATTAGACTATATGTTAGATGAACGCCTACATTGGAAATATACATTTATTAGATTTGCTTAGCGGTGCACTTGTAGCCTGTCCAGAAAATGCGTCGATCGATGTACAAAGTCAATACCACACGTCCCGCATTTCTTCCCGCATATGTTTCTATTTATGTTGCTATATTGAAATTTGTTTAAGTCAAAGAAGCTTCTTCACTACATGTGAATTCCTGTTCTTGGTTCGTGCAAACATACATTATCAAAATAGTTACGATCTAACATATATAGTTTTTTCCAAAGATTTCCAACATTTTTACATGCGATCAACACCGATTCGAAAACTGAGAAAACAACTATGCTGTAAATCTAAGATCGACAACGAAAGTCTGAAGAATAACATCTATATTGAATTTCAAAAAATAATTGACTATACCTATCTATATTTTTATCACCTGCTGATATAATAGAAGTACTTGATTGTGTCAGTATTTACACCAATTACTTGATTTGTTTAACAGGTAGTTCAGAGTATTAATCCTTAAGCTTAGTACACACTAGTAGACCCCGTTGCGCAATTTGTCTATAGGCAGAATCGAGACGGTCTCAAGACACGATCTATAGATGGTCTAAAGACCTTCTTTGTCTCGTCTAGAGTCCATACGATAATGCGAATTTTTCGGTCACATGTTCGTTTTCACAATCAAAGGCATTGTTTTGTGTGGAATGGCTGGGATATGTTTCGGGATCCCTCAAAATGACTTTTTTGGTTAACAGAGCAATGAAGTTTTTGATGTTTTAATCTTTAATATTATTACAGTAGTTAATTATAAATGCCACGTAATTCTTTTGTTCTCGTGTAATAACATATTGCCTTTCTGAGGATTTCTGAGCACTTTCCGTATTTTTTTCAAGTTTGCATTGAACAGATAGAACACAATGGACTTAATGATCAATAATAGGATACATTCCAGAAGTTTCACTGAGGTAGAAAAATTACCAGCCCCAAATATCGTTTGCGACCCCCCCCCCCTAGACGAAATCCTGAATCCGGCCTTGGGGTGTTACGGGTAATAAAAGTTAATACAAACGTAAAACGGTTTATTACATGTCTACGAATAATAAATTAATACAGTTTCGAGATGACAGCACTGAAGGCTAAAGCAACAAGGGGTACGCTATAAGATGCGGTGTTGATGTATGCACCATTTAGAGTACCTCCATTGCATTGTATTAACGTAAATAATCGACAGAAAATACAAAAAAAATAATACATATTCCCAGTTGGTAGTCGTGCCTGGGAGAAAAGAAGCTATACGTATACATCCCCACTAATTATTGTTGTCTTCTGTTTTCTCAAATCCATGAGAAAGGCAGGTGCAGCACCATGTGACAATAATACATAGTTCTGGGTGGGTTTCACGCGTTCTCGACGTCGTTTGGTGTTTTCTGGGCGATCATTGTGTGGTGTCAAGTCTAGAATATCCTTAAAAGCAGATGATGCTCACTTACCACTTAGTTTTTTAAACAATAATTTATTTAGTGTCATCTCATCGCCTTGAAAGTGTAGTATCGCATAGTGTTTTCACAGTATTTGTTTGTTTAGTTTTGTTTTACACTGTTCATAATTTTGGCGTTACGTATGACTATTATGCAACTATCTTCAATGCTGTCAGCTCGACAACTCTGTTATCTCTTGTTGATCTTCGTTATGAAGATGACTATGGAAATGTAAATCATTATAGGAAGCCGGTTATCAGATTGTAAGGTTAATTTCCCTTTCGATGGATGTTATTTTGTATTTCGAGCCGAACATCGTAACTGAAGATACAGATGGATTAATTTTTAGGTTATGCGAGCGCGAGATGTTTACCAGCCCTGTTAAATCTTCGTTGATTAATGCATCTGCCCTTCAAAAATCTTTGTGTTTAAGACTAAAATAAATTTGAGTATCATCGGCACAGTGATGGATTGTACAATTACGGAAATATTCATGGAAATGTGACACATACAGAGAGAAAAGTGTAGGACCCAATATGGAACCTTGAGGAACACCGTACTTTATAGCGGCTGATTCCGATATTTTCGAAGCTGATAGGACCTTTTGATTTTCATTTAACAAATAACAACGTATTAAATTGACTGACACTTTCTAGAGCCGTTGCTGTGCTGTGGTTTTCCCTGGAATTATTTTTGGTTTCACTTCCGGTTCCAAAATGCGAGAAAGATTTTTCGCAGAACATTTCCGAATTCAGCGCCTTAAATTACCTAAGTGCGCAGTTTTTCTTGAATATCCTATGACAAATTCTTCAAAAACCCGTTTTCTGCGTAAATCGCGCCCCCCCCCTAGACGTCTGACACTTGCTTTTGTGATCTAACACCATTGTGTTGCTTTCTGACACATCATGGGGTCAGAGGCATACTAACCAAAAGTTATAGCTATAGGAACTGAACATTGCGATTTTTGGTATCCTTTGTCCCTCTTCGACATCACTTACGTTTACAGCACAATTCTTACGATTTATACGTATATACCAGCACTGTGACTTGTGACAAATCCAAGTCTAAGCAGTATATTAGCTATACAGATTGCAGATATCGCAGATATTTGAAATTCTTCAAATTCCTAGGATTGGTACTTCAAAATAACCACAACAAAATTGGAGTAGATTGGTCAAGTAAGTATTTTGTGAGAATTTCTAATTGTTTATGCCAAGACATATGTTTTCCGGCCATCACTACTAGTTTTCTTGAGCAATATACATGGGTTTGTTCAAAGGGCATTTTATAGCAAAATACACTAATTTACCTTGTCGATGTGAATCGTAAACTATTCCGGAAGATAAATGTTGTTTTTATGCAAAAAAAGGATGGGTTACGTTTTTCTTCTAAACAAATTCAAACATTTCGTATTTGTGAGTAACTCGCAACAAAAGATGATAGACACATCCGCTTTGTTTTAAAATGTGTATAGTTAACGAATGTATTTCGAATATCGTAGCGCATTTGCTCAGTTATTCACAAATACCAAATGTCTGAATTCGCTTCGAAGAAAAAAAAGTCACCTTTGTTTATCGCATAAAAATAACATTTATCTTTTGGAATGGTTTGTAATTCATATCGGCAAGAAAAATTAGTGTATTTTGCTGTAAAATGCTCTTTGAACTAACCCTGTATATTGCTCAATAAACTAGTAGTGATGTCCGGAAAACAGGTGTATTGGGATTATGTTATTGTTGTTACTATGTTAATATTTCCTTAGCAGTACTTTGCATGATATATTACTCGATATAGTTGTTTATGCTAGAACTTATTGGCGAGACCTCGTATCCGTAATCTGTGGTTTTATGTGGAATGTTGGATGTCAATAGTACGGAGTGAGGGATATTTTTTGAGTTAGTTAAGAATTAGACGTGGTATTGAGCGAATGTAATTTCGGTATATATTGGGATAATACCCGTGTTTTCTTAGAATAAACAATTAGATATTCTCAAAAAACTACTTGTTCATTATACTACAATTTTGCTGTTGTTATCCAGAAGTATGAATCCTGCTTATTTAACGAATTTCAAGTAGTTGCGTAAAATTATCGTCGGATTACCAACAAGTGACAAAACCTGCATTTTGCCTGGTTTTTCGCCCCTAACATTTTTGCTATTAGTCGGATCTTTTCACGTGTGGTCTCGATCTGTAGGCCTCATAAATACCTAAAAAACTTACAAAACCGTATGTTCGTTCCTGACAACACTTTCGATTTAATCCCAAAAAACACGTTTTATCATCCTTTGTTGTCAAATAAAAAGTTTTCCCACAAAAATTGGTGTAACCATTTTATGCGTCTATGTTTAAAATGCGCACTTGAACACATGCACCAATAAATCCGGACTTTGAAATTGTTTCGGGGAAATTTGCTAATATGATTAGACTATATGTTAGATGAACGCCTTGGAAATATACATTTATTAGATTTGCTTAGCGGTGCACTTGTAGCCTGTCCAGAAAATGCGTCGATCGATGTACAAAGTCAATACCACACGTCCCGCATTTCTTCCCGCATATGTTTCTATTTATGTTGCTATATTGAAATTCGTTTAAGTCACAGAGCTTCTTCACTACATGTGAATTCCTGTTCTTGGTTCGTGCAAACATACATTATCAAAATAGTTACGATCTAACATATATAGCTTTTTCCAAAGATTTCCAACATTTTTACATGCGATCAACACCGATTCGAAAACTGAGAAAACAACTATGCTGTAAATCTAAGATCGACAACGAAAGTCTGAAGAATAACATCTATATTGAATTTCAAAAAATAATTGACTATACCTATCTATATTTTTATCACCTGCTGATATAATAGAAGTGCTTGATTGTGTCAGTATTTACACCAATTACTTGATTTGTTTAACAGGTAGTTCAGAGTATTAATCCTTAAGCTTAGTACACACTAGTAGAACCCGTTGCGCAATTTGTCTATAGGCAGAATCGAGACGGTCTCAAGACACGATCTATAGATGGTCTAAAGACCTTCTTTGTCTCGTCTAGATACGATAATGCGAATTTTTCGGTCACATGTTCGTTTTCACAATCAAAGGCATTGTTTTGTGTGGAATGGCTGGGATATGTTTCGGGATCCCTCAAAATGACTTTTTTGGTTAACAGAGCAATGAAGTTTTTGATGTTTTAATCTTTAATATTGTTACAGTAGTTAATTATAAATGCCACGTAATTCTTTTGTTCTCGTGTAATAACATATTGCCTTTCTGAGGATTTCTGAGCACTTTCCGTATTTTTTTCAAGTTTGCATTGAACAGATAAAACACAATGGACTTAATGATCAATAATAGGATACATTCTAGAAGTTTCACTGAGGTAGAAAAATTACCAGCCCCAAATATCGTTTGCGACCCCCCCCCCCTAGACGAAATCCTGAATCCGCCCTTGGGGTGTTACGGGTAATAAAAGTTAATACAAACGTAAAACGGTTTATTACATGTCTACGAATAATAAATTAATACAGTTTCGAGATGACAGCACTGAAGGCCAAGGCAACAAGGGGTACGCTATAAGATGCGGTGTTGATGTATGCACCATTTAGAGTACCTCCATTGCATTTGTCTGTGGAACAAGTTCGGCAGTGCCTAACCATATGTGAAGTAGCATTATACTGAGTACAAGTTTGGTTTCTAGGAGCACATTGTCTGACGATTGAATCTGAAAAAGTTGGAAAATGGTGATCAATACATAGAGCGTCAAGTAACATGGTGATTTTACTGTCTATACGAAAGATAAGTTGCGTTCTTTGAGGCGCATTCCCATGCCATTGAGAAACTTGTAAAAATTTCATGGCTTTCTGAGATATTCGGAAAAAAATTGCAACATCATTTTTATTGTTTCCCGACATTATTTTAAGAAGTATCAAAAAATCAATGGGGCTGTTCCATTGTAACTTTTAAGGCACCACAAGATGATGTTTCTAATTTTTGTGCCCGGCGGTTCGTTTTTCAACTTTATTTTTTTATCTGGTCAAACATATGCGTTTTTACACACTATATACTAAATCCAATTGTCCTGAGTTGCGTGGTTGCAGTACAGAGTCCACCTACTTATTGCCATTTGTGAAGCTGCGTTGCCCGCGTTTCCAGTTTAGAAGATATATTTCAAGCAGTTGTCTGATGATTAGGATCACTCTCCATTAAATTTTGAACTATTTAGAATACTTACTGCCTGTATCATAAACCATACAAGCGTTTGTTCCATTATCGCACTTATGTAACAGAGCATCCGTCAAATTTCCAACTACACAGGTACTGTTCTGGTTAAGTGGTGCCGAACATGAGTAACATTCCAGAGCTTGGGCTAAAGAAAAGAGAAAGCATTGGCAAAACAAAAAAAGATATCATTATTCAAAATGTTTCTGTAAGTATCCAAAGATATATGTTACAGATCAAAAATATCCTCTATACTTATGGACCGCTATTGGATAATCTTGAAGGGCTGTCTAGCTAAGAACGGTCGTGGATTACTTGAAATTTGTCTAAACTACTAAAAATTCAATATTTGTCAACACTTATTCTTCTAAGTAAATCTTCTACTGATGAATTTTTGATTTCACTTACCTGTCAGTATGCAAGAGAACACCACAACTGCAGCAAGAAGTAAACTGATTGACACGTATTTCATGTTTATGTAACTAGATCCTTCACCAATATCTAAATGGAGCTCGCTTAAAATTATATCATAATATTTATAGAGTTTTTTGTTAAGATGATCGGGAGATAAGATAAGAGCCAGAAAAGATGTATTTGCCCAGTGCTTTCTCTTAATGTCGATATGGGGCAGTGACGTAGCGGCGGGGGCGGGCCGCACCCCAAAAAAGGTGACACCCACCGGCACGGGTATCATGTAAAAAACCTATAAGACGTCAAAAAAACCTATAAGATATCAACTTGCAGACTAGGTAGTTCATAGGGCGCAAACAGTCATTCTACGTTTGCTCACCTGGATCGTTGAGAACGCCCATCTATACAGGAATCACTCAACTAAACTACACGCATTATTGGTTGCATAGTTTTGTGAGGCTGATTGATACGTGTCTGTAGTTTTTATCTCTGAGAAGAAAGTCGGTTGAATAGCAAGATCGCATCTGGATGATTATGTGTATTGGTCTGCATGTGTATAAAATCAGTGATATTTGCTGTGTGCGAAAATCATCACTAAATATGCCGAATATGACGGGTTATTTATATGTTGTGCTTTCTGAATTGAGGTTATGTTCAAAGTTATAAATTACGAAAAACTGAGGAGAATTACGAGAAATCATCACCGCGCCCACGTTGTGTGTACTTACTGTTAGCATGTATATGGCTTGTACTTTGACAGTGTACAGTGAATATAATTACTTTTCATCTGTCTCATTTTTTTAATTCAGCAAATTTGTATATGCAATTTCCAGAATGTATAAGAAAAAGCGTCTGCGTAACTAATTTCTAGCTTTGAATCTCGATTAAGTGTATTTGAGACAAGAGTACAATGGAAGTATCATCACCATATACAACTTACAGCTTACACTTCCAGTAATGCCATCTCTGCACCAGATTTTACATAACATCAGAGCCAAACACTGATAACTAAAGCCTCATGACGCTTAGACAACACGTACAACTAAGTGCTAAGTTAACATCTTATAGAAAAACCTACATAATGTCAAAAAAAAAACAGAATAATGTCAAAGAAATCGGCATAATGTCACTTTTCAAGATATGTGACACCCGTGCCGGTTATTCAACTTTAAGAACAATGAACAAACATAAAAAATGCACAGATTATATTGCAAAGTAAAGGCCTAACTGTTGACGAAACAGCTACAAAAATAGAGGCACTTCGTCTTTATATCGGAGATAAACAGGGTCACAATGTAGAAGAGGCAATGGATATTGCTACAAAAAAATCAGAAATCAGAACCTAACGATATTCCAACAGAATGACGACTTCGTCGGTTGGTGAGATGGCCAGTGATGCAGGACTCACACTTAAAGAAGAACTTCAAAATGATATGTTGGAATTCAGAGTTGAACTCCAGACAAGATCGACGTCTCTTCAAGACCTAGCTTCATCGTTCGAGATCGTACAAAGAAATACTTTGTCTTTGGCGAATACTGGAGAACTGAAATTAGCTAGATCCAAATCTACTGATTTTTATGATGAGGCCTCGGAAACGAATGTCAACAGTTTCTGATTGGGTATCTCTAGATTTTTTAAAGTTGATTGTAGAATGGGATTTTACAGAATCTCTTCCAAATCTTACGATTGCACTGAAATTGTTCAAGACAGTTTGAGTGTTCGTAGCTTCATGTGAAAGGAGTTTTAGGGCAACAATGACCCAATCGCGGCTTAGCAATATTGGCATATTAACCATCGAACACGAGGCAATACAAAACAAATTTTGATGAAGTTATTTCTGAGTTTGCAGCTATTAACGCCAGAAAGAATAGATTTTAATTGTAAGATAAAAATATGTTTTTTGTCTTAGTTTTTATTGTGTTTTGTTATTTGATCAATATTTTAAATATAAATATTAGATGATCCATGGCGTTTATAAATCATATAAAATTTATTGCCTTTGACTTTAGATGGAATGACACTATCCACTTCCGCACCGGGTGCGGCCCAAGGTACCTACGCCACTGATATGAGGTGTAAAGAAACTGCGAACTTCAAAACATGATGTCATTTTTTTACAGTATATCATAAAAATACCTGATAACGGATTGTGTGTCGAAAAACAAAACCTGCATTTAACTGAATTATGATAGCTAATGCAAAGTATACTGTTTGTAAACCGTATGATTCCGAGGTAGGTCATACATACTTCATACAAATATGTTTATAAAAAAAATGTGTGTGCGCTAGAAAATAATTCTGATGATGATGACTCACTTCCTTACAAAGTACAAAATACCCTTCAATTAATTGTATTTTGTTAATCTCTGAAAAAAAGAAACATTTCATAGAAAATAAGATGAGTGAAAGTATTTTGTCGGAAACGCTGACCATATTGAATAAATTGAATTTTTTTTTTCTCTTTTATTAAGCACTAAAAACGTAGGACATCATAAACTGGCTAAGTTGTAAACTCGACAAACACTGGTACTTTCGTCCATTCTTGTGGGTTCCATAGTCCAAAATTTGATTTGTCTAATCTCGGAAAATTTCGAAAATAGGAAAAACCGCACGCTTTTTGTTCATCTTTTGGTGTTTTTTGTTAGGAGATGAGTACTTAGTAACGCAATTTTAGGGGCCCCAAGAGGCGACCTACTGATCTGAACTTTGAATAAATTACCGATGACTGGAAATTTTTATAGATTTGTGGAATTTATAAGTTTGATTATTTTGTAATTTTTTGGTGGAATTGCGGTCGAGTAATGAGAATTACGCGAACTTGGGATATACCCACTGTATATGAGTGGTTCTTTGCATCCTTTGCAGATCCGCTGTCAAAATAATGAATTTTTGTCTGAAACCTCAGAAAAACCACGTTTTCACCGATCTTCGCTTTTTTGATACTTGAAACGTAGGATACCATAAGCTGGCTAACTTGAAAACTCGACAAACGCTGGTAACTTCGTTTACTTTCTGGCGTTTTTGGTCAGGAGATAAATACAGATAAACACAGTAGATGTCCCTAGCGGCATGCGGAATGATTTGACACAGTATACCTCAATTTGGATCGTTCGACCGTAAGACGAATACTCTTGTCGCACGACATCAACAAAGCTTTTGGTCCGGAGTTGATTCCTGTGATTGTACTGAAGAGGTGTGCAGCGGAGCTTGCTCCACTTCTTTCGCGTCTCACAAAAGGGATCCAAGACCGACCCTTACAACTACAGGCCTATAGCTCTACTTTCTGTTATAAGTAAGGTAATGGATAGTGTATAAATCGCGAGCTTCTGGACTACCTCGAACGTCACAGCTTGATTAGCGACAGGCAGTATGGTTTCCGGCACCAATGATCCACAGAGGACCTCCTAGCTTACGTCACTCAATTGCGGAGTAAACTCATCCAATCTTATGGTAAGGCTCATGTCGTTGCTCTTGACATCACGAAAGCGTTCGATCAGCTGTGGCACGCTACCCTCTTAAACAAAGTTCCATCCTATGGCCTCCCAGAGAAGCTTTGCAGATAAGTGGCTGACTTTATCTCTGGCCGCTAGGTATCCGTCGTAATTGACGGTTTCTCCACTTCATCCCACAACGTCAACGCGGATGTTCCCCAGGGATCGGTCTTGGCTCCGACATTGTTTCTCTTACATATCAACGACCTCCTTTCCTGCACGATCAACCCAATCCACTTCGCTGATGACAACACTCTACATGTAGGAATTCAGAGTGGCAAGCCGATCTCTGCCGCTGAGCTGGGGACGCAACAATCTTGTACATTTTAATGCTTCCAAAACACTGAACTATACTTTGACGAACATAAAGCGTCCTAGCGCTCATCCGGTTTCGAATGATGGGCGAGTTCTGCCAAAAAGCCATTCATTTCGGCTAGTCGGAGTCCAGATCACCGAGGACCTGATCAGGCACGAACACATCTCATCAATAGCTGCAGCTGCTGGAAAAAAGCTAGGCGATTTGTTTAGGGCTAAGAAGTACTTTTCTCCGCATGACCTTCTCACTCTATACAAGGCCAGATAAGGGCCTAGCCTCGAGTATTGCTCACACGCGGGGGTGCTGCCGCACCGACTACATTATCCACGCTGCATGCTGACCAGAGGAGGGCGGTCCGACTGATCGATGATTCTTCTCTAACAGACAGTCTCGGAACTCTTTCGCACCGGCGGGCCGTCAGCGATCTAGCTCTTTTCTACCGCTACACCAACCGGCTTTGCTCCTCAGAACTCTCTTCCATGATGTCGCCGCGCGACGTGCCTGCCAGGCAGACCCGCCTGACTTTGACGTCCCATCATAACCGTGTTCGAACATCCAGAACTGGCCGATACGACCGCTCCTTTGTCCCGAGTGTGTCGAGACTGTGGAACAGTCTACAAGAAGAGGCTTTTCCCAGTTCTACTAACCTTAGGCAGTTCAAAAATCTAATTAACAAAATTTCTTTGGGATCATCATAGCAGCCGCGGTGTTCCGGCATTTAGGCTTCTGCCTGCACGGCTGCTTCGATATAAAAAAATATACGATACCTTTGAGGGCAATTTTCATATATAGTTTTGAGTATAACTTGTCATATCGGGCCATACCTACCTGGCCTGTGGCTGATAACAGACGCAAAATTATTTTTGCGAGTGATACATGGATTGGTCAAAATAGACCAACTGTTAAAAGACTTATAGAAATCGATATGAGGTAGAAATGGTAAAGAGGGCAATGAAACACATGCGTTATCATCCTTAATTTTATGTATTCTTATCATAGTAGAGCTATCGGATAAATGAGAAAAACGAATATCCACAAGAAGAGCTACAGCTTTATTATATCATTGCTACTAGGCTATAGTAATGTAGGCTTCAAAAAGTCGGACTGCAAACATTTTGAATTCGAGTATCGCAAAAGAAAACCTTTGATTGATCCTGAATGTATAATGCGAAGATGTATTGCTTTGATAAGCAAAGCAATAATTTTGATTGTTTGCTATTATGAGTCAAGTCAGTTGTACGTCTAGTTTATTGATAATCAGCATTATATTTTCACATTTCGTCAGATATCATAAATACCTAAGTTCTCCTTCCTAGCTATCCTAAAATTCGGTTAGTCATTTTGTTATCAATTTACTCAGCAAATCTCTCGTATGGATCGTCAATTAACTAATCTAGATATCATCACTGTCATGCCCGATATCAGAAATAATGGAAAATATCTCGCTTGTGGAGATCCATTACACATATCTTTGTCTGAGCACACGGAACATTCTAGCAGCAGATTCATGTCATTGTTGTACTTGGTTTGGAGGAAGGAGCAGACATCGTAATGCTGGCAGGAGCGATGGATCCATCTTTCACCATTATCTGTAAGAACGATAATAATTATTTATTCAATAGCATAATAAAATTCTACACCAATGCGGTCTCGGGGCCTTTTAATAATGCTAGCTGTGTCTTACTGTCCTTCTTTCTGCCTTACAAGGGTCGGCTTCAGGTGGTAAGTAGGTGAGGCTGCCGCCTCAGGGTGCAGTGTCATGGGAGCGCAAAATTCTCCATCAAGAGCGGATTAAGCCGCCACCTCCCTGCCCTCGCTATTCGATACTTTGCTTTAGAAGCGACGGCTTCGTGAACATGGATTATGCACCACCACTATGACCTCCTCTAGACAGCTTCTTAAATCCGTAACTGTGGCCCCCCTGACAAAAATGCTGGATACGCCCTTATTCTCAATTAATGTGGGGTCGGGCGCATAGTTCATCACTTGCCACATGGCGCATAAAACACTGAAGCCGGCGCCGGGCCTTACCAAATCCCAAAAGCGTGAGGATATACAGGGTGATCGACAAGTCGTTACAAAAAATGAAACATATATAGTGGATACCAAATAAAATCCGATGCACGTCATAGGTGATGTCATTCATAAAAATCATGGTTACCAACAGTTGACTACATTCAATGTGACATTTCTACTTGAAGTTTAAATTTCCCCGTCTCGATTCGGTTGGTAGTGCCGTGCAGAGAAATGTGAGGTTGCCACTTCTCATTTGTTGACATCAGTTGCCATTGTCCTTTTGTCGTACTATTAGTTCTTTATTGTTTAGTTTGTGAGTTTTGCGCTATTTGAGCTTTGAATCGTTGCCTTGCGAATTAAAAATTGTTCTTTTCAGAACAACAGTTACTGTGAAGTGGTGTAAAGTATCCAAAATGCCAAAACAACTTACCAGTCGGTGTAAAGAGCTCATATCATTGAATATCTACCAAAATCAGGTGTTTTTATTTAGAAAGGAATTTAATTTTACAACAAGTTTATTTATTTATTTTCAATATAATGGTATTATAGTAAATGGTAGGTATATATAAACAATTTATTTTATTAAATTTATTTGCTTAAAAGAAAATGTGCAAATTCTGGCAACAGCGCACAGCTCCAGATCGATGACGTGCATCGGGTTTTATTTGGTATCCACTATAGTCTTCTTCTTTCCATCTCAGCGGCACAGATCGGCTTGTCACTCTGAATTATTCCTGCATTTAGAGAGCGGTTATCAGCGAAGCTGTGGATGGGGTTGATCGTCCACGAAAGGAAGTCGTTGATATGTAAGAGAAACAGTGTCGGAGCCAAGACCCTGGGGAACATCCGCGTTGACGTTGTGGGATGAAGACGAGAACCGGTCAATTACGACGCATATCTTGCGGCCAGAGATAAAGTCAGCCACCCATCTGCAAAGCTTTTCTGGAAGGCCATAGGATGGAAGTTTGCTTAAGAGGGCAGTGTGCCACAGCTGATCGAACGCTTTCGTGATGTCAAGAGCAACGACATGAGCCTCACCATGAGACTGAATGAGTTTACTCCACAGTTGCGTGACGTAAGCTAGGAGGTCCCCTGTGGATCGTTGGTGCCGGAAACCGTACTGCCTGTCGCTAATCAAGCTGTGACGTTCGAGGTAGTCCAGAAGCTCGCGATTTATGCACCTCTCCATCACTTTACTTATAACAGAAAGTAGAGCTATAGGCCTGTAGTTGTAAGGGTCGGTCTTAGATCCTTTTTTTGGGATGGGCTGTACATGAGCAAATTTCCAGTTTTCTGGAAAGGTGCCGGATTCATAAGATATCTGGAAGAGACGGGAAAGAACTGGAGCAAGCTCCGCTGCACATCTCTTCAGTACAATGGCAGGAATCAAATCCGGACCAGAAGCTTTGTTGATGTCGAGCGACAAGAGCACTCGTCTTACGATCTTGTGCCTGAATGTTACCTCCCGCATAGTGTGGGGAACCCTTTGAATTGACGGCACTTGGGCGTTGGTGGGGACGTCCATGGTGGAGTTGGCAGCAAAGATCTTGGCTAGCACTTCCGCCTTGGACTTTGAGTCGAATACAATAGTCCCATCCTGACACGTAAGTGGTGGAAGGCTACTGTGTGAGAAGTTCTTTTCAATCTGCTTGGCCAGCGTCCAGAAAGACCGACTGCCATTGCGCTGCGACATTACCCTGTGCCTAACTTTTATATCATGCTGGTTTTGGGCATTGCGAATCGCTTCGTTATATCTGTTTCTGGACTCGACGTCGGCTTGTCTGTTCTCTACAGTGGGGTTTTGTAAGAAGGTTCTGTGTTCCTTGATCTTCTGCTGGCGAGCAGTGTCACACGATTTGTTAAAGCAGCCGTTGGACCCTGGTTTAGACACTTTCACTGTGTGAGGGATGTATTCCTCCATTCCGACGTGGATAATTTCGGTTATCGAAGAACATACAGCCGACGCAGCCGCGTCAGCGAAACAAACATTTCTCCAAGGAAAGATAGAAAAGAAGTCTCTGAGCCCCTCCCAGTCGGCATGTCCATAGTGCCAAGTTTTGCGGCCTGTACGAGTTTCTGCTGCCACAGCGGGCTCTGACCGAAACATAACCTCCACAACACCGTGGTCTGAGTTACCCTGGGAGACAGGACAGCAGTGCTGTAAGGGACAGGATGCGTGGTCAGAAGGAGATCCAGCAGGCTACTGGCGTGTGACGAGACGAGGGGGAAGAAGTAGCGCTCATCACCAGCTGGGTCAGCCCTTGAGTAAGAGCGAACGCTTCGACTGCACGACCTGCTGCATCCGTCTTTTCGAGCACAACCAAAAAGCTCATTATGGGCATTGAAATCACCGAGAAGAACTACCTCTGAAGTGGGGTGATTGATGTTAAGGAAATCGATCTGCACAGCGAGGTATTCGAGTAGGTCATCCCAGTTATGGTCTGAGGGAGAGCGATAAGGGCAGCAGATAAATTTAAGTGATGTTTTGGAGTTGAGGCGATACCTTCCGGCCTGATTCCAAAGAAACATCTCTGGAGCAGGAAAGACTGCTGCGGACAAAAGCCACAACTCCCCCGATCTTTCTCAGATTGGAGTGCACCTCGTAGTTCGGGAAGTTAAGATGGTTAATCGGTGCAGACTCTGAGATTTTTGTCTCCGCCAAGAAAAGAACGGCGGGACGATTGGATTGCAGGTAGTGATGAACAGCATCAATGTTGCTGTTAATCCCGCAGATGTTCGAAAAACAAATTTTATCTTGGATGTTGTTCCCTCGAGCCCATCCTCCACCCGAACATTCCGAGAGTGGAGTGATTTTAGGTCCGGAGTTCTTAGTGCTCGAGGGATCCATTATCATTAATTTCTTTGTTTTGGAAGATAACCGACTGCATAGCTTAGGTGTGGAAACATGCGGACATTTATAAGACTCCCTGGAAAAAGCTTGCAAGCTTGATTAATATCATTAAATTTGCACGCGAGGACTGAGGGAATTGAAATAATAATCAAATTTATAATTTATCTTTCAGATCGGAGTGGAGCAATGGAAAATGCCTAGATTTAAGTACAGAAGTTAGTGCCACAATTTGTAAATAACCAAAAATAGACTATATATTCGCCCTGAGGCAAATGCTGATCGAAAATTCCGTACACACTGCGCACCGAACGAGGCACGGCTCGGCCGGTGTTCACTTTGATGGACCGACAGCCGATGGCTTAGGTCGTGCACCCCATGAGGCACACCGAGCCTGTTCGCAGCATCGCAGCTGTGTTAGCGCGCCGTACACACTAGCGCATCGCGGCGCGCCGAGGGTGCCTCGTTCGGTACGCGGCTTGCCTCAGCTCAAGTGTATTCCCGGCGTTAAATGATTATTTAACCATGCGGTTATGTTACGACGAACATGCGATGCGGCACCGTCGCGTCGTGCTGATACCACTTTCGTACTCTACTTGCTAATGGAACATCATCTAACACATTTTCTATGAAATTCTCTAAAAAGCTGAGTATAGGTTTTAAACGTTGTGGCAATACTCGTACGTACTTAAATAATTGGGCATTGAAAATGCCGCACCAGACATTTCTAGAAAGTCTGTGTTGAAATAAGTGGATCCTGGATTTTCTAACGACGAAACATGTTCATTTTGAGAATTAAAGGTTCCACTCCTCGTAAAAAGGGGTTCATCTGATCACAAAACCAAATCAATAAAATCTGCATTTTGAGTAGGCATTTGCAGTAGCCACTCACAAAAGTTTCGCCGTTGCAGACATTGCACATTTTGCCGATGGTAATTATCCACGCAAGACTTTGAGAACATGGCTCACAATCCGCCTAGTACTTGTACTAGGATCATCCAACGCCAAATTAATCAGTTCCAGTTGCTCTTGAACAGTATGCCAGACACTATGACCTCTAACTCCGGGAAATTTGGCAATTTCATATTGCCGGAGTCTTAGAAATGAACGCGTAAGAAACGTCAAGTTGGTATCAAGGCCTCCAATTTTATTTTGAAACTAATTGTATCTCGTCTCTTCATGAATGATCTAATTTGTTTTATTTTTACGAAGGGAAAAACACAATAGTAAGTTAGTCCATTCCAGTTGACAGTTTTGAGGATATTAAAAAAAATGTTTTTTATTTTGAAACTTAAAACACCCCGTATCTTTTTAATGAAGCCCTCGAGGACAAAATTTTACATAAAAGATGGTCCTGTGTATGATGTTTCATTTTTGATCACGACCTGTGAATCACCCTGTAATACGTCATCAGTTCCAGTACTTACGATCCACGACGTATTTGGCACAAACTGAATCTGCAAAGTAGCATTGTGTTTTCTTGTGGGTGTCGTACCATGACAATTCTTCACAGTTTCTGTTCAACCCGTTTGCTCCCAGTTGAGAACTGCACGAGAAGCATTCCAAAGAATTTCCTGAAATGAAGTATTCTCATACAAAAAGAAGTATGAAGATACACAATCTAGGCTACAAGTAACTTTTTCAAAAGAACGGAATATGTAGTTAAATTTCCGATTATCTCTTAAAAATGGGCAGGAATGTATGCAATTTAACGTCTTGATAAGCAAAAAAAGGTATAAGCCATGCTCTACACTTTAGTGCCGGTCATTTTTGTACGTATTTCTTGACCAGTAGGAAAGCTTCATTTGCGTTACTTATAGCGAACTATCTGATTTTCAGATTACTCCATATGTATAGAAAAAATAAAAAATATAAGGAATGCCAAAAAACTAATGCAATTTTTTCATTGGCACTCTTTAGGCCCTACATGATGGTGTTTTTAAATTTTGAGTCCGACGTTTCGCTTTCGAGAAACCATCATCAACTTTATTTTTTTATACGGTCCGAAAAAGGTACATCCTGTATCTAATAAGATCTTTACGAATTCAACGATGTGTCACGTGCTTCATTGGTTTTCTTAGATATAAAGTAAAATGTTTTTATATGAATAAGATGTAATATGCATCTATCAGTAATCACATCAAGCATCTGGAGGGTACCGGGGAAAAACGGCATTAGTCCATTACTCGGCTAAATTGAGCTTTCAGTTTATTTTGGTGGCATTCTTCTGATACTATCGTGTTACCAGCTTCTTGAATTGTAAAGAGGGCTTAGGTTCACAAAACAGTTATAAGATTCCCTGTGCTGGAGAAGAATGGCATGAGTCCCTGCGCGTGTATGGAAAAACGGAATCAGTCCATATGGAAAGGCGGCGTTGCATCGGCCGTACCGTTTGGGCGCTTCGTTATTGCATCAGCCATTAGTTCACTTTTAGAGTCCACGTGAGTTGTATACGCTGATATTTTGAATATTGACTATATTCGCTAATTTAGTTTATAATACTTGTTTTGTGTATAACGGATAGGGACTATTCCGTTCAACTGAAGATAAACCAGGCCCATCAAACCGAGAAACGAGAAAACGCAAAAAAACAGGAAGACAAAGAGACGTAATGAAAATGTTGCGCGCCACTACCCACGAACTTGGATCTGATTGTTTTTGTGAACGTTTTCGCTGTTTTGTGAACGCTGCAGACTTCTTCGTGAATTTAATGAACTAGGTACTAGGTAACACTAATGCACAAAACGCTGATCTTAGTGATCTTATCACTGTTCTGCCTGTCATGCGTAGACGCCCTCGAAAAAATGAAGAAGAGTCAAGGCTTAATGATGCTTCACTTAGTTATCGTGTCGGATTGGTTGAAAATGGAATTATTCGTGATGTACCAGTTTGTCTTAAGGCTGTTTTGTCTTTACACGGAATTACAGTTCGTCGAGTTCGGTACATAAGAGACTCATTAGTTGCAGCGGGGAAATCGCCCATCGACATGCGAGGAAAACACAATACACGACTTTACAAACTTTCAGCAAACACAAAACAGAAAGTGACTTGGTTTATTAAGAGCCTCAAATGCCGCAAATCTCATTATTCTTTGGCAGATTCGCAAAAAGTTTACCTACCTGAAAATCTAAATATCGCAAAATTACACAAAATGTATTCTATTGGCAATGTTGAAAACAAGATTTCTTATGAATCCTTCCGAGAAATCTTTGAAAACAACTTCAATATATCGTTCGGTTATCCACGAAAAGATACTTGTAGTACGTGTGATTCCTTAAAAGCTGATATATATTCACTTACCGTTACCTTAAATTCCCACACGGAACAAACTAGGCAGTCAGCAAGTAATAGTTTGGAGAAAAAGATACTTGAGAAGACACTACATCAAAAAAGGAGTAAGTGGCTTTACAGTCTAAAGGGAACTTAACCGCAAATGTGCCTCTAAGTTCTCCGCTATCGAAAGTATCACGATGGATTACCAAAAAAACTTGCCCTGTCCAAATATAACGACAAATGATGTTTACTATAAGCGGCAACTAAATTTCATCAGTTTTAACATCCACATTCTGTCAAACTCAAATTCTATCTTTTATACCTACAATGCATCTATTGCTAAGAAAGGCGCTGACGATGTCTGTTCTATGCTGTATCACTTTTAACATCCTGCCTATGGAAGTAAATGAACTTGCCATTTTCTGTAACTCCTGTGCAGGGCAAAATAAAAACTTTACAGTTATTCGGTTTTTGCATTACTTGGTTACCAAGAAAAATCGTTTTACTACTGTGAAAGTAATATTCCAGATCAGGGAGCATCATACCTCGAGTGTGATAGAGATATGAGTCTCGTGAACCAAAGATATACATACACTGAGGTATCTGATTATTTGAAGTCATTGATTGTGGCAAAAATTTTGATTGGGGTACGTTTTTATCGCCGTTTTATGCAACGGTTGGAAAGGGACACCCCTTTCCAACCCGACCAGTCAGGATGCTCAAGTTTTGTAAACAGAATCCTCGCGTAGTTTTTCACAAATCGACATACATGGGCCTATATGCTAGTTCTAAATTTGATAAGGTAGTTCGGAAGAATCTAAAAAAGATCAACAAAAACGAGAAGAGGAAACCTTGATAAAACTTTACCAGACCCCAATCCCAATTAAGAGTAGGATATGGAAGGATCTGCAGGATCTGACCAGATTTCTAGAGAGAGCAGATTACAGGGCATTTTATCAACAGTTAATATCTCTTGATCATCCAGAAGACAGCAGTGATAAATATGTCGATGACCCGCCAATAGACGCCTAAAGCAGGGGAAAAGTGGCACGAGTTGAACATCATCTTTTGTTTGTTACGTTACTAGTTTTGAGTGAAAGTTCATTTTATAAAATCTATTTTGCCAATAAACACACTGTTTAGCAAAGATATTCTTTACGACTTATTTTTTCATCAATTTTACTTTCCAACAAGTAAGTAAACCTTAATTACCGATTTTCTCAAAATCAGTCCGGATGGACTATTGTCGTTATTCCCCGGTACCCTTCATCTGTTTGCAATGCCAAGTTAAAAAAATGATAAAAAGAAAAGCTCGTTTTTATTGTAACCAAGAAAATAAATGTAACACGTGATACATCGCTGTATTTGTGTAAAAATGGTAGTACTTATAGAGTGCACTTTTTTTGAACCATAAAAAAAATAAAGTGGATGATAGATTATCAAAAACAGGGCGTCGTGCATAAAATTTAATAACACCATCATGTAGTGCGTAAGAAGTGGCAATGGAAAAGTTTCATTGGTTTTTTGATATTTTTTTGAAGATAAAGTCGGAAAAAAATAAAAATTTGGACAAATTTTAGTTTTTGCCAAATATCTCAGTAAGCCTTGAAGTGTTTACAAATTTCTCAACAGTATGTGAATATGCCCCAAAGAGAGCTACTTTTACTTAATTTAATCTGAGCTGTAACTCCTACAGATATTGAGATCCCTATGCATCGTGAAAATCAGGAGCTCCTACATGCAACTTTTTTTTAAAGCTGTAGCTAACAATTAAAGAGTTTTCTCTATTAATATATGCATGCATTCAGTATTAAAATATTAACTACACCTTTTTGGAAACTATCCAAGATTATGAAAGTCGTACTAATATGAACGGAACTAATAGAAATCTCTTACCATTCTTGAAAAGAGCGCAAAAACTGAAAAACAGGAAAGCAAACTGCAACGCACACATTTTCATCTACAGTCACGAGCACACTATACACCTTACAGATTTTTCAAGGTTCCATATGAAAATTTTTCGTAGGAAATTTGATTTGTTTATAATGTTTATACGGCTGACAACTGTGTATGACAACAATAAAACTGCGCAAAAACTACTACCTTACACATAATATTTTATACTCCATGTGAATCTGTTAGGTAATATATTCATCGTACTATTATTAAATGTATTTGAGAAGATGAGAGCATTTTTTATTAATGGACAATATATATTCAACATTTTGTCTCACTATAATTATTAATTGCTTTCGCATGCGGTGTAGTACTAGATCATTGAAAACATTGTATGACTCATAGGGTCATCAATAAGAGTCTTGGAAAACAGACATTGTGTCATTTGTTCATTGCCTCAGGTACATGTCCACCTGCTTTTTCTTTCTGGAGGTATGGAATGCTAATGAAACTTTATACTTGTGTTATGTGTATACGCCCAGAAATGACGAGATTACACAACAATGGGTCTTCTAAATGGGCAATACTTTTACTGCATTAACTAGCTGCAACAACATAGAGCAGTATTTCTGTAATACTGACTTGCTCGTAGAAGATCATTTTTTAACTTGAATATGAAAATGAAAACCAAGTAGGCTATGAAATTTTTGATACTTAACCATTGTATTTCTTCCAGCATAAAATTTATTCTAGTCTATTTTTTATTTTTATTTAAGATGATTCTCATAGTTTTATTTTGTAATATTTGTAATTTTGAAAATGCAGTTTCATTTGCAGTGAACAAAATAGTCGAATAATATAACAAATGAGGGAGAATGATATTTTCTTGGATATTTTTGAAACAAAATATTCATAGTGCCCTTCATATTTTAATTTACTGTCTACGTATGTGCCCAAATATTTAAATGATTCGATTGGCACAATGTTTACGTGATTAATTGTAAGATTTATCGTATTTTGATCTAAAGATTTTCCTATTAGGATATATTTTGTGTTGTTTGTTTTTATTTTAAGTTTATTTACATTTAACCAATTTATTACGTTTTTCATATCATTATTTAACAGCTCTATTGCAGTTTCAATGTCTTTATTTGATATGTATATTAATGTATCATCAGCAACTAGTTGAATTTTGTAGTGTTGTAAAATATCAGGAATATCGTTAATATATAAAATAAATAGTAATGGACCTAATTTGGTACCCTGTAGTACAACTACCGAAATGTTTTTAATGTTTGATAATGTATTGCCAATTTTAGTTATTTGACGTCTATTGATTAAATAATTTTGTAATATGTTGAATACTGAACCTTGAAATCGATAGCAATGCAATTTCGTTAACAATTTCTCCCTGTCAATAGTCTCAAATGCTCTCTTGAAATCGAAGAACAATGTTACTGTAAACTTTTTTTCATCCATATTTTGCCTCCATTCTTCTACTACCATTTGGATTGCTGTTTCAGTAGAATACTTTTGGAACTATTTTCGCGCACAATTTTAACATTTCAAGATTTTCTGTCAGAATGTGGTGAACGATTGTTTTGGTAAATAGCAAATTAGCCCCACGAAAATATTGCGCCCTATAGTGTCTAGGTTTTGCGAACACGATGAAGCTGACTCGCCTTTCATTTATGGAAACACGCTCGTGTCTGATCGCGGATGCCCGAGGGCGTGAGGCGCTGCGACTATTATGTTGGCTTGTTACCATTTTTTGATTTGGTTTCTCACTTCTCACTCGTCAGTAGCCGTTTTGGTTACCGGCTGTAGTGTGCGTGCAATTAAAGATGGATGAGTGTCGCTGCGTAATCAATCAACTGCTTGAAAAGTCATTTTCCTTGTATAATTTTTAAGAAAAAAAGGAGATCATTGAAAGTGGAAGACCAACACCTATTTTGGATAATTTTAAAGGAATAAAAAAACGTAGTTTGATATTTTAAATTAAGTTGGTATATGGAAACTCTTGGTTATGTGGTTGCAAAAAGCAGATTGTATTCTTGGCGATGTCTTCGGGGCCGTTCAAGTATTACGTGAGCACTATTGCTTTGTTTATTTTGGATGACATTGGGGGTAGGGGAGTCTAGATGATGATTACGTCATCGGTAGTTATTTACTTTTTTACACGAATGGCAACCCTCACATTGTCTTTGCTTGAAAACGAAATGCATTTTCGGGGATTCCCGCAAATAATGCATACGTTTAGTGAACAGCGCGCGGTAATTCCCCTACTCGCTTTAGAACCGAATAGGGGAATTACCGCGCGGTGTTCACTTGTCTAAATTTTCTCTATCAGTGTATTGTTTCGTTTGGATACTATAGCGAGTAGACGTACTGTAAGCATAGTAAAGCATGTTAACATTTGTGTTACCATCGATTCCATTAGCCAAAGTTTAATGTTTAAATAAGATGTCGTTTCACATAGACAAATCCAAGTTATACCAAAAATTGTTTGAAAGTTTTAAAAAATCTCATACAAGTACGAAAGTACAAAATTTACAAAAGTTAGTTAACAAAGTGTGGCGAAATTACAAATTACAAGCAAAATCCGACAAGGAACTAGATATTATTGTATCTAAGAGAATCGAAGAAGAATTGCAAGCGGCGGCTAAGAATAAATCCAATCTACTAAATTTTTTTTCTAAGGTGAGTGACGAAATCATTTCAGGTACCTATGAGTACTAGAAATATTAAATCGCCAAAAAGTTTCTCTTTACTGATTAGAAAATATTATGGCCTATCTCAAGGTATAGAGGTAATACTTATTATATTATAGATTTATTTCTTAGGATTGATTCCGTCAATTGGTCACAAAGTACAAGATGTTAGTTTTATACATATATACAGAAAACTAACACCCTGTATTTTGTGACCGGAACGAATTGCTCGTTTAAACATATTAGATTTAAAGCCATAGGGTTTTGTATTTACCATATACAGGGTTATCCAAATTAAGTGTCCACCATTGGTAACTTTGTTATTAGTAAAAATACAAAGTTGTTTAAATTAGCAAACTAGTAGCATTTTTAAAGCTGGTAAAAATGAGAAATAAAAAAAAACAATTGAGAGTCGTTATTTTGATTTTTTTCAGTAAAATAACATTTTTTTAAATGGAAACCCCTGTATATTATATTTTTTTCTGTTAAAGCATCAAATTTTAAACAAAAAAGTTCATAATGACTTTTCCGCTAAAGTCAAAAATAAAGTCAAAATAACGATAAATATTTTTAATTATTTGCAGTATTATAATATTAAGACGGCTATGAAAACAACATGGCGTTCGCGATTTGACAGCATTAAGATAAGCGACAAATCGTTAAACTGGACATACTCGCAACTAGAAGGCTTTGGAAAACAATGATAAAATCAAATAATGTCAAACATTAGTGTAAATACTTGTTTATAAGCTTTATTGTGTCATTAATTTAAAGAAAAATGTTCTCCCATGAAGAAAAGTGTGATATGTTAGAATGCTATTTAGTGTGCAGAAAATCCTCCTTGAGAGCAAGAGAATTATATCCCGCTCGCATTCAACCGTATGAACGATATTTTCTGAGACTTTATCGAAAATTTAGGGGCAACGAAAATGTTTTTGCTAAAACAAGGGCAAAAAAAGAATTCATAATAAGCGAGGCCACGGAAATTGCAGTTATTGGATATTTTGAAGCTTATCGTGAGAATTCAATAGCAGATATTCTCAAGGACTCTAATTTCAGTTATGGTACTGTTCAAAGGATTTTAAAAAAATACAAATTTATTCCGTATAAGTACCGACCAGTTCAAACGCTTTTGGCAGGGGATCCAGAGAGAAGACTTGTTTTTTGCCATTGGTATCTTAGCTTCTGTCGCCAAAATGTAAATAACTTTCGTTACCTTTTATGGACAGATGAATCAAATTTTTCAAATTTTGGAATGTTTAATAGAAAAAACTACCATTATTGGTCAAGAGAAAATCTTTTGTTAGTACATCCAAGAGGCCCACAAGTCCGTTTCAGTTTCAACGTTTGGTGCGGTATAATTGGTTCAAAAATTGTTGGCCCGTTCTTTTATGAGGGAACCCTAACTGGTGAAAGATATGTGGAATTTATGTCAGAAATTCTGACTAATTTCTTAGACGAATTGGATCTTATAAGTAGACATCATGTGCATTTTCAGCAAGATGGCGCACCTGCCCACAACTCCAGAGGTACTTATCATTTTCTAAGTACTACTTTTAATGATCAGTGGATAGGAACAAATGGCCCAATACAGTGGCCTCCCAGATCACCAGATCTAAACCCACTTGATTACTTCTTGTGGGGTTACTTAAAGAACCAAATTTACAAGCGAAGGTACGATAACCTTGACGCGTTAAAGACTGCAGTTAGGGAAAAGATAACCCAGATAGATGGTAGGACCATACTTAAGACAGTTCGAGCAGTTGAAAAACGTGCCCAAAAATGTATTGAAGAACAAGGTGGTGTTTTCGAGCATCTTCTTTAAAAAAAATTGTTATTGTATTTTGTAAGATTATAAGTTGATGTTGAAAATAAAGTTTGTCGATACAATTTAATTGTTTCAGATTGGAGGCCATAACTTCTACAATTTGTAACCTAGGAGAAAAGTTATTGTAAGCTTTTTTGTTTAAAATTTGATGCTTTAACAGAAAAAAATATAATATACAGGGGTTTCCATTTAAAAAAATGTTATTTTACTGAAAAAATAATGACTCTCAATTGTTTTTTTTTATTTCTCATTTTTACCAGCTTTAAAAATGCTACTAGTTTGCTAATTCAAACAACTTTGTATTTTCACTAATAACAAAGTTACTAATGGTGGACACTTAATTTGGATAACCCTGTATATTGCCATACTTTGTATTTATGTAGCTTAATAAGAGAATCTTTAGCAGAAGCCTTAGAAAGTTTTATTTTTAGACAACCTGTAAACCTGCAGAAAAAACACAAATTATACAGTCAGCTTCAAATATTAAAAAAGAGGAAGAAGATAAAATAAAACCCGGTAATAAATCACAACAGCAATGCGAAATTAATGAAAATACAGATTAACAGAGAGCAAAACCTTCTCAGGAAGCTATGAAAAATAAGACTGCTCTACTCAAAAAAAATCTGAGTGCTTTGTATTCTGCCAGAGATACTACGCCAAGCCGTGCTGAAGTTGATAAACAGATCATTAAGTTGCGCGAGGAAATAAAAACAGCAAAACAGTCTTTAAACAGGAATGTGCAAAACGCAGTTG